CAAATGAATCACATAAGGTGGTATTTATAGAAATTTTCGAATCTGAGCATTTACTAGGAAATTGCTAGGAAAAGTAGGTACAAAACATGTGTTTTATTTAAATTCGATATTTCCTATCTATTTCCTCCTAATTTCGTAGTAAGAAACTGTTTCCTCCTAATTTCGTAGTAATATTTTACTACGCCTTTACGAGGAAAGTATTTACTACGGCATTACGAGGAAATGTACTTTTTCCTCGTAAGATCCTCGTAAATTTACTAAGGTCTTACGAGGAAAGTATTTCCTCGTAAGTTTTCGAGGAGCTTACGAGGAAATTTGCTTTCCTCGTAAGATCCTAGTAAATTCTTAGTAACTTTACGAGGAAGAATTTTCCTAGTAAAAATTCCTAGTAAATGCTTAGTTTTCTTGTAGTGTTGGGAGAGGTTTTTAACTCTCCTCAAGAGAGTTAACTTAATATGGTTTGAATATTGTCCTAAAGAGATCAGAGATGTATAAGTATTCAGACCTAAAATTTTTGAAGTTATGAAAAAAGGCTGAAGATTTGAAAATAATTTTCAGAAATAACTCTAGGTTAGAAAAAACTCTTACTATAGGCACTAGAGTAGCTAAAGGATGTCCACAACATTTAAAGCATCAGTATTTTATTATTACAGCCCATTGCTGAGGGAACCAAAGCCCAAATTTTGTGAAAGTAACTAATGGGCTTACTTTATTTTATTTCGTTCTTCTCAATCGACGTTCTCTACTCGTATAATAAAACCCACCCAGGAATTTCTAACCCGACCCGAAGAATGGGATCGTCTGCGAATACAGAAACCAACTACACCGCCTCGTCACTATCGTCGAACCACAAGTCTACTAAGCTACAGAGGTTACTGGGCCCGTGTTCTACTAGACATCTTGAATACCATAAAGGAAACATAATAGTTAAGGTTTGATTACGCTAATCCTGGTATTGAGTATGTTAGTATCTCTTATAATATAAAAGTTAAGTAAACTCTTCTTACTCTCCTAAAATTTCGGTATAGTTAAGGTTTAACTGTACTTGAAGCAGCTTCACTATTTCATCTTTCTGTTGCCATTATACATGTGATCTTTTCAGACCTCTATGTAAAATAAGAGTAGTGTAGGCTTTTCAGATCTAATGTTGACATCCACGTTAAAAGCTAGCTCAATCATGTCTATGTTTATCCAGTCCACATCATCATCACCAGCGAACCTACACTTTTGATTTTAGGTTTATATGTGCCACTGTGGTCCATAGTTAGCATTTACGTGTATAGATTCTCTTCTTTAATTTACTCGGAACATAGATAAAGTATATTCTTCTTTTTTTGTAAACCTATAAACTTAATATACTCTCTAAAATAACTTTGATAATAGTGTTGGTTAAATAATTTGATGAAAACTCGTTATCAACATTTAATAGCGTTTTACACAAACATAGAATTTTACTCTAGCGGTTGGTCAATCGATTACTCGAGATCAACAAACTCAAAATATAGAGTTTCAACCGCCAATATAATATACCTGACACATTACATATTTGTGGTTTAACTGTTTGAAATGTTAAATTGGTTCATAGACAATAAGATTTTACAAAGATCTATATAATATACTTGACAACAAATAAGTACAATCTATATTAGGCTGTTTACACTTTTACTGAGTTTGTCAGCGTATTAGTATATATGATCATCATATTGTAATCATTGCATTAAAATTCATTCAAACACGAACTTAGGCTGTAAAATAAACAAGGAACATAAATGGATGACAAAACTACATAGGTGAGATCACGCATGGACATTCACAAATAGAAATAGATAATGGAACGATGAGCTGTAAGAAGATATTGTCATCTATCATGGAGAAAGTAATTGGGGGAAAACTTGATTTTGGTTTGTTGTAAAATAAAACGTGTTTCTACTACACTTCTCCAGCTAACAAGTCATTTATAAAATGTAATTTACTGTTTTGTAGAACCAAAAAAACATCATTCTCCATTTTACGTATATCACCAGATTCTAATGAGAAAAAGACATGACAGCTAATGTGTTTCTTGTCTTTTTCGACAGTTTAATGTTTGCATTTACACAGTTTGTACTTTTTTCTTTTACGTCCAAAGTAGATTTGCTGCCAACCAATTACAAAACAGCAGTATTCTGCACTGTACAAAGTTGCTGAACAATGTCTGCTGACGGGTTTTGAAAGCCGCACTGAATATTCAAAATCATACCCAAAATAGAAAAAAACCTATATGTTAAATCATATTACATTATTGTGTATATAGTATGCAGCTAGCCGATAAAAAAAAAGTATGCAGCTTTAAAAAACATTATTTCGATATTCAACCAACGTACCAGTTTTGTTGGTATATATATAGTAGTAGTGTCAAACTGTGAGTAAACGAAAATACACACAAGTCACAAAAGCACAATGAGTTATTCTCAGCAAACTAGAAGAAACAGAGCACTCTCCTCTGTTTCCACACTTCTCCTAAGCTTCCTCCTCTGCATCTCCAAGCCATCAAACGCTCAGTCTTCTTCTCCGGTGTTCGCATGCGACGTAGCCGGAAACCCTTCTCTCGCCGGGTTCGGATTCTGCAACACGGGGTTGAAAGCTGAAGCACGAGTCACCGATCTTATCGGAAGATTGACGTTGGAGGAGAAAATAGGGTTTCTTGTGAGCAATGCTAGTGGCGTGAGCCGCCTTGGGATTCCTTATTATAATTGGTGGTCGGAGGCACTTCACGGTGTCTCTTCTGTGGGCCGTGGTAGTGATTTCTCCGGTTTAGTCCGTGGCGCCACAAGCTTCCCTCAAGTCATACTCACCGCTGCTTCCTTCAATATATCTCTGTTCCAAGCCATTGGCAAGGTGAAATAATTTGTTTCTTGGGGCACAAGTAATAGACTAAAGTCCATTTTCATGCTTATAGTTTTTAACAACTCTTTATACTTTTGTTTTTTTTAAAGGTTGTGTCGACAGAAGCTAGAGCAATGCACAACGTTGGACAAGCTGGATTAACATTCTGGTCACCCAACGTGAACATATTCCGGGACCCAAGATGGGGGAGAGGGCAAGAGACCCCCGGCGAGGACCCGACGCTCACGAGCAAGTACGCGGTGGCTTATGTTAAAGGTCTTCAGGAGACTGACGGTGGAGATCCTAACCGTCTAAAAGTTGCTGCTTGTTGCAAACATTACACCGCCTATGATCTTGACGAATGGAAAGACGTCTCTCGTTTTACATTCAACGCCGTTGTAAGAAAAAAAAAGATAAGCTTTGCATTTTTTGTGGAATAGTATAAAGTTGAGTCTTATTATTTTGTCACACCAAATACATTATGGACTGTGTGTGTTGGGGTTAGGTGAACCAGCAAGATATGTATGATACGTTTCAACCACCGTTCAAGAGCTGTGTGGTTGATGGGAATGTGGCTAGTGTCATGTGTTCTTACAACAAAGTTAATGGTAAACCGACATGTGCTGATCCTGATCTGCTTTCTGGTGTGATCCGTGGTCAATGGAAGTTAAATGGGTAACGTTTTTTTTTTTATCACACGGTTTAATACTGTAAAGGATTTGATTTATTTATAAAATCAATATTTTTTATTGTTAGGTACATTGTTTCGGACTGCGATTCAGTAGAATTTATGTATACGAGACAACACTATACCAATACTCCAGAGGAAGCTGTGGCGAAGTCTATGTTGGCAGGTTTGGATTTGAATTGTGATCATTACGCAGGTCAACACGCCATGGAAGCGGTTAAGACCGGTTTAGTAAACGAATCAGCTATTGACAACGCGCTTTCAAACAACTTCGCGACTCTGATGCGTTTAGGATTCTTCGATGGTGACCCAAAGAACCAGCCCTACGGTAATCTCGGTCCTAAAGACGTTTGCACAGCTGAGAACCAAGAACTCGCTAGAGAAGCCGCAAGACAAGGCATTGTCTTGCTCAAGAACTCTCCTGGTTCACTTCCCTTCTCACCTTCTGCGATCAAAACGTTGGCAGTGATCGGACCAAACGCTCATGATGTCAACCAGACAATGATAGGAAACTACCATGGTAAAACTGAAAACAAGAAATTCTACTTAGTTCAAACTTAAATGTCTGAAATTTAATCTTCTTCAGGGGAACCTTGCAAGTACACAACACCACTTCAGGGACTGACACAAACGGTTTCAGCAACATACAGCCCGGGATGCTCTAAGGTGGCGTGCACGGAAGCGGATATAAACTCAGCAACAGCTTTGGCGGCTTCTGCTGACGCGGTTGTGCTCGTGATGGGCTTAGACCAAACCATTGAGAGGGAGGACCTTGACCGAGTCAACCTGAATCTTCCCGGAAAACAGCAAGAGCTTGTGACAGAAGTGGCTAGAGCAGCGAAAGGACCAGTGGTGCTAGTCATCATGTCTGGTGGAGGGTTTGACATTACCTTCGCCAAGAACGATGAGAAGATCACAAGCATCATGTGGGTCGGGTATCCCGGCGAAGCCGGTGGTTTAGCCATTGCTGACGTCATCTTCGGTCGTCATAACCCGAGTAAGACTCTGTTTTACGGATCAAACCGGTAAATTACTGCTAACCGATTACTTTTGGGTTAACGATTATAATTTTTCTAACCGAGTAAGACTCTGTTTTACGGATCAAACCGGTAAATTGGTAAATTACTGATAACCGATTAATTTGGGGTTGACGATTGTAATTTTGCTAACCGAGTAAGACTCTGTTTTACGGATCGAACCGGTTAATTTCGAGTTAATGATTATAATTATGCTAACCGAGTTAGACTCTGTTTTACCGATCAAACCGGTAATTACTGCTCAATTCGGTCTAACTGTTATAGTTTCGCTACGAATCAAACCGGTTATAACCGATCAGTTCGGTTAGACAAATTGTAATTTCGCTAACCGGTAGTTTTTTCTTTTGGTTTTCGGTTAGGTGGACGGTTACCAATGACGTGGTATCCTCAGACGTATGTTGAGAAAGTTCCGATGTCGAATATGAACATGAGACCCGACGAAGCAAACGGATACCCGGGTCGGACTCACCGGTTTTACGCGGGAGAAACAGTGTACGCCTTCGGAGACGGGATAAGCTACAGTAAGTTCAGCCATCGACTAGTGAAAGCCACACGTCACCTCTCTCTCAGGTTAGACGAGAGCCACGTTTGTCAATCTTCTGAATGTCAGTCACTGGACGCGGTGGGACCACACTGCGAGAGCGTCGTTGAAGTCCACGTGGAAGTAAGCAACGTTGGAGACAGAGAAGGGAGTCACACGGTGTTAATGTTCACGTCGCCGCCGGCTGTACACAGATCGCCGATCAAGAATCTAGTAGGGTTCGAGAAGGTTGGTTTGGGGAAGAGTGAAGAGGTGACGGTTAGGTTTAAGGTGGATGTTTGTAAAGATCTGAGTGTGGTTGATGAAACAGGGAAGATGAAAGTAGCTTTGGGGGAACATGTTCTCCATGTCGGAAGCTTGAAACACTCCTTGACCATTAGTATCTGATGCGATGATGACTCTGTCTTTATAATGGTTAAAGATTTAGACTTTAAAATGAAGTGAAGATAAATTGTAATAAAAAGAAGTAAACTTGGTTTGTCTATTTAAATTTCTCAGTCACGCCGCCGCCTTATATTTAGTAACGTTCGGAAGACTATAAACACTAACAGTCGTGTAAGTTGGACGATTTTCGAGGAATCTAATCTTTATTAGATTCGGTTCTTTTTGGTTAGTTTGAAGTCTCCTTGGATCTGATATGAATGACCTCTGTTTTTTATATTGTTAAAGATTTAGAGTTATAAAAAGAAATGAAAATATCTTTGTAATAAAAAAGAAGTAAACTTATCTTCTCACTCACGCCGCCGCCTGTTAGCATCGTCGCCGTTAGTATAACGTTTGAAACACTAACGTTCGTTAGTTTGGACGACTTTGGAGGAATCTCTACTCTTACTAGATTCGGTACCTTTTTGGTGTTGGTTTAGCATTGGTCGCGTTGACTTTTTGGGAGTTGAAGATTTGAAGCGGAGATGTCGCCGGAAGGAGAGTCGGTTACGGTGGATCCAGTTGTTACGGTGAAGAGGAAGACACCTCAGTCATCTCGGAGTTGGATTTCCATAGACACGACGGGGCACAAAACGGTGCTTGACGAAGACAAATATGCTATTATGCACCGTGTTCAGATCCACGCTCGCGATCTCCGGATCCTTGACCCGAACCTTTATTACCCGTCAGCTATTCTAGGTCGAGAGAGAGCCATTGTTCTTAACTTAGAGGTTGGTTGTTTTCTCCTCTATTTTTTTTTTAGTTTATGTTATGGTTCACTGATTCATATGTTTTGTTATTGGGTCTGATGCAGCATATCAAAGCCATTATCACTGCTCAAGAGGTCAGTCACTCTCTCAGTTTACTTTTCACTTCTTTTCTAACAGCCTTGTACCTGAATTTGGACACAAACACTATGTTATGCACTTTTTTTTTAAACAAATAGTTTATTTCAGTGTTTGGATGATCTTCTAACGTACATACCCTTATGTGATAGAAAAAACAGTTTCTCCCCTGTTGATATGATGATGTGATTGTTTTTTATTTAAAATGATACAGGTTCTGGTTCGGGATTCGTTAGATGAAAATCTTATTCCTGTCCTGGAGGAGTTTCAGAGACGTTTGCCTGTTGTTCAAGGAGATGCTGAAGCTGGTGAAGAAGATGGTATTCTTCATCTTCTTTTTATTTGCCTACATTAGAACCACACGCCTTTGTCACATGTGGAATTTTGAAGTGTAAGTTTTGTTACTATTTTAGAATCACCTTTTGAGTTTCGGGCGCTAGAGGTGGCTTTGGAAGCTATATGCAGCGTACTAGCTGCAAGGACAACTGAACTAGAGACTTCTGCTTATCCTGCTTTGGATGAACTAACCTTGAAGGTAGGTAACTTCTTAGTGGTTACATATTTACCATCACTTATCTACTCCCAACTACATTCACCAATTTTCATTTTGTAGATAAGTAGCCGTAACTTGGAAAGGGTTCGTAAATTGAAGAGTGCCATGACAAGATTGACAGCTCGAGTCCAAAAGGTACCACTAGGAAACAGAGTCTTTGTTTATGAGTACTTGAAATAGAAAAGAAAGCTCCCTTATCACTTTTTATTTATTTATTTTGTAGGTAAGGGATGAGCTCGAACAGTTGTTGGATGATGACGATGATATGGCTGATATCTATCTTACAAGGAAGCTCGCTGGTGTATCTTCTTCATCAATTAGTGTTTCTGATGAACCTCTTTGGTATCCTACTTCACCAACAATAGGTTCCATGATTTCAAGAGCAAGTAGAATGAGTTTAGTCTCGGTTCGTGGTGACGATGAAAATGATGTTGAAGAACTTGAGATGTTGCTCGAGGTTGTTTTTTGCATGACTAAATATCTGTTCTCACCTATACAAAACAAGCATTGATTTGATATTTGTTTAAACAGGCTTACTTCATGCAAATCGACAGCACTTTGAACAAATTAACCGCGGTATTGTATCATCTTGTCTCTTTTATTATTTTGAATAATTGTGAATCTTTGTGATATCTCTGAATAATTGTAACATGATGCAGCTACGCGAGTATATTGATGACACAGAGGATTACATTAACATCCAGGTAACCAGTGTGAAATACTATTTACCTAAGGATGTTACTAATTGAAATGTAATCTCTTCTCACTAGCTAATGTAAACTATTATCATTGTTTTTTTTTGCAGCTAGACAATCATCGAAATCAACTCATTCAGGTTAATTAGTGAATATTGATGAACTGACAATTTTTTTTTCATAGATTGAGCCTCTTTGTTAGTCTAAACTGTCCCCATAATAATATTTTGCAGTTAGAGCTTATGTTAAGCTCTGGAACAGTCTGCATATCAATGTACTCTATGATCGCGGGAATATTTGGCATGAACATTCCATACACATGGAACGACGAACATGGATACGTTTTTAAATGGGTATGGAACACGTTTTCAGAAACAATCTCTTTGAATAGTGAAAATTTTCATATGTTTTTTTTGTTTTGTTCTGATGGCAGGTGGTTAGCCTCACGGGGGTATTTTGCGCAGTCTTGTTTGTGATTGTACTGTCGTACGCTAGGTTCAAAGGGCTTGTGGGATTTTGGTGGTCCAAGGAAAATAAACAGGGTGGATCGTAAAGACTTTGATTGTAAATACATCATGTATAAACTGTTCACCATATGAAAATATATACGATGAACGATTAGGAGGATCCATGGTTTCATTTGATAGACAAATTTTATCCGCAATATATGAATCTTTACCTATCGATATTTTCGATATAGGTATAAAATACATGCAATTTTAGGTATCAACAGAAACTTCATCGACTCATTTATCCACAAGACATGAGCAAGATACTTTTATGATGATCCCTTGTCGTATGATGATCCCTTGTCGTTATATAGCGCTGGTTCTGAGATTTAAGAGATTTTAGGTGATTTAAGAAAAATTTGAATTAAATTTTTTTATATAAATTTGTGGGCTTAAATTTTTTTGGGTAATCTTTGTATGTATAGAATTTTCAAATTTTTTAAAAATTTAATTAAGGCAAATGTTTTGTTAGACTTGGTTCAGGACCGGTTTCTGTTGCTATTCAACGACCAAGACTGAACCGAAATCCATATTGGTGTGAACTAAAAGGTGCCAGTCAAGTTTATTGAGGGAAGTCAAAACGCACAAGTAGATGTAACAGAAGTGTTATTTCTTAACCGGAGAAATGGAACCAGAACGAACCAATGTTAATTAGCCTTATCTGATCCTAACCGAATTGAACCGAGTCAAATTTTGTCCAGCCTCCAGGGAAGAACATGACTCGTCCGTCCATTTGTCAATAGATCTCTCTTTCTCTCTCTCTTCGCTCACTGTTCTTCGTTTCTCCTTCGATTCTCTGTTTTCAGATTTCTAATATCTCAGATCCCACCAGGTATCCTATTCTACTTTAGATTCGTACATCTGACTACCTTTGAATCTTGTCTCTGTGTTTGCTATTTGCTTTCTCTGAGCTAATGAGTTCTGGTCTAAAGTCGGCATCTTTTAGACTCTGTTTTTGTATTCTATCTTTCGTATATGATGTCTTTGTTATGTGAAATTTGATGACTCCTTGTCTAGATCTTGTTCTAACCAATAGTGCTTTAGTGGTTTTAAGTTCTAACTGATACAACAAACTGTTCGGAATATTATAGCTCAAACCTCTGTTTTTTTTCCCAGCTCAAGATGGATACTAATAAAGATGATGATTTCACATTCTCAAAGGTTAGTTTCCACTCAATTTCTTTTAGAATTTTCATAGGTGCTATAAAACATGAAAGTTTAAGACTTTATGATGTCTGGTTCTTTGGTTTTGTCTCGTTTTGAAGGTTATGCCACCAGATAGTGAAGTTGTTTCTGTAGATGCCAAAGATCTTGCATCACGTGTAGACGGTATTGCCCTTAAAGATGGGCTAGATCCTCAAACAAAGTCTCTGAACCAAGTTCCTCCAAAGGAAAAGACAGTTGGTTCTTTATCTTTCACCGTGACTGACTCTTCTTCCTCTTCAAAACCATCCAACGAATCATCTGAGATTATTAAAGCTAGAAAGCCTATAACTCGTACAAAAGTCCCATTTGAAAAAGGTTATAGCCAAATGGATTGGCTCAAACTTACTCGAACACATCCCGATCTTGCAGGTTTAAAAACCTTTCTTTTACTTGCCTTTCTTCTTTCCCTAAATTGCATTTTGATGTGGTTACATGATGTTGTGCAGGCCTGAAGGGAGAGTCGAACAGGAGGCTTATATCAATGGAGGAAGTAAAGAAGCACAAAACAGGAGATTCGATGTGGACTGTTTTGAAAGGACGTGTGTATAACATAACGCCTTATATGAATTTTCATCCTGGTGGTGTTGATATGTTGATGAAAGCAGTTGGGAGAGATGGTACGTTATTGTTCAACAAATACCATGCTTGGGTCAATTATGATATCTTACTTGAGAAATGCCTTGTTGGTGTTTTGGATGATACCAAAGTGAAGAAGCAAGAAGCCTAATGGCTTCATGCTAATCATATACTCAGTAATAGAATTCTTAAGTCAAATAAGAGTTTTTGTTGTTCGATTCTTCAAATGAAAACGCTGATCACATTGATGTATTGTCATTAGACTTTTACTACGCAACTCTTTGATGTCAATATATGTTAAAAGGTTTCCAGAGTCACTGATCACATTATGTGATTAACTCGTATAGAATTCTTAAGTCAAATAAAAAGTTCTTTTAGTGTTTGATTCTTCAAATGAAAACGCTTATCACATTGATGTATTGTCATTAGACTTTTACTACGCAACTCTTTGATGTCAATATATGTTAAAAGGTTTCCAGAGTCACTGATCACATTATGTGATTAACTCGTATAGAATTCTTAAGTCAAATAAAAAGTTCTTTTAGTGTTTGATTCTTCAGATGAAAATGCTGATCATGATTATGTACTGTGCTTTATGACTGTTACGCAACTATTTGATGTCAATATGTTAACAGGTTTCCAGATAATGTGATTAACACAACATTCTTTTTACAATAGATGAACAGTAGATAATAGAGTTCAATTCTTGGATTTGAATTACAAGCAACATAGCAAAATAAATACGAAACAAAATGAAAAATAAATATAGGTAAATTAAGCAGAGATACATCCACCAGGACTAGCACTAGCACTGGTCAGGAAAAGCTAGTACAGAGCACTGCAAACATTTCTGACAATTAATCAGGCAGACAAGTCCTATGTGTTCTCCACAAGAAGAAGGGACAAATCAGACTTTTTCTAAATAAACGCTTTTGTATAGTCAATCAGAGCTCTTCTTTCTGACAGAAACCGAGGGTACTTCAGGTATTTCAAGTCCAAGAGACAGACCTGACTCCTCGTCGACTGTAAATGATATTCTTACAGTATCATTTTTGTTTGCCAATAATCTAGTTTCTTGTTTATACGGCACCTGTTTGGCTGTTTCTTGAATTTTATTAGCTCTTTTTTTCTTCTTCTAGTTTTCTCCTCTGACTCTATCTGGAGCTCAAGGTTGCAGATCCACAAGGTTTGTAATTCTCTTCTTCATTCATTCTGATTCATTTTGTTTCATTGGAGTTCATTCATTTGCTTGATCAGAGTTCTTCAATCGTTACACACTCAATTAATTCTTTGTTTAGTTATACTCTTTGGTATGTGTAGTTTGTTGATAATGTTAATCATGTGATGAGTCTTTGCTTAAGATATTCTTTTCCCACAAAGTGTTTATTGGCTTGTTCAGAAACTTGCTGAGTATTACTATTATTCTTGGTAGTTTTCTCATGCTTTCAGTCCTCCAAGTCAAACCTCTAAAAACAAATCTTTCCTCAGATTTTTTGGATCTTCAATCATGTTTCTTATTAAAGTATAGCATTAGACAAATAGGAGTTGACTTTGGGGAGGAGAGGATATCATTAGACGTTAAGTACTATTGTCTCCAAATCTATTTCTTTCTGTGAACTATGTACAAATTTACCATTCATCTTATTTAGTTAATGCTGCAATTTGCATCCACAAGTCATTTGGTCCTTGTCTTATGTAACTTTCCATCTTGTTCACCTCACAGCAAATGCTTTCTTGCTTCTATGTACTTATATGCCCTTGATTGTGTTTTTATTTGGGTCGTATCTTATGCTACATTTGTTTTCTTCACCTGTTAGTGCATTCAGTAATACAATGCTTTCACGCATCTCGTTAACCCTCTTGTTTAATGCTTTCTGAATTTTGTTTCAGGTCTTTGAACCTGATCATCCCCATGTATTACAGAGTAGATATCCAGTAATGTCTTTCTGGTGATAGTATTACATTAGCAGAATAGTTCTTCTTTGCCATTCTTGAAGATGGACAGGGAAGACGCATCTGGCTTTGTGAGTGGCGGAAATTTATTATTTCCCAAGCCTTTCCAATATATGCTTTTATAGGTGTTATGTGCTAAGTGGTAGTTATTTAGGAACCTCTCTATCTACTATATCCTTCTCCATCTTCATATGAATTCGAATCACGGTGGAGCCAATGCCACCGGCATCAATATGGGTGACAACTCTCTTAGGCTCAAGTCCCTGGAGGACTCTCAAAGCCATTTTTCTTCTGAGGTTTCTAATTGCACTAATGATGATGGCTGCCGCTTGGTCCTTGGATTAGGTCCAACATCAGCTTCATACTATTTTAGCAACAAAGGTTATGGTTCTGGATTCACTCAAGAACGAGGTGGTTCAGCTCTGCAACTTGGTCTTCCAGCTTTAAGTATAGACACTCTCGGTGGACCTGATTGTTCACTGTCTACATACACAGAGATCAATACTAGCAGACAACGTGTGGTTGATGAAGGTTCTACTTCTGCAAAGAGATCAGGCGGTTACATGCCATCACTTCTGTATGATCATTCACAAGTGAGTCTAGAGTCATCACCTCACACAACATTCTCTGTACAACAGAGAACTTACAACCCGAAGAAGTGCAACTTCATGGGATGTGTGAAGGTATCCCGAGGAGGGTCAGGTCTCTGCATCAGCCATGGAGGAGGGCAGAGATGCCAAAAGCCAAGCTGCAACAAAGGCGCAGAGGGTAAAACCCCTTTTTGCAAAACACACGGTGGAGGGAAGAGATGTGAACACTTGGGATGCACTAAGAGCGCCGAAAGAAAAACAGATTACTGCATATCACATGGTGGTGGAAGACGTTGTGAGTTCACCGAAGGATGTGACAAAGCAGCGCGTGGTAAATCAGGTCTCTGCATCAAACACGGTGGTGGCAAAAGATGTATCATAGAAAGCTGTACACGAAGTGCTGAAGGAACAGCTGGTCTTTGTATATCTCATGGTGGTGGGAAACGTTGTCAGTTTGCTTCAGGTTGTGATAAAGGAGCTCAAGGGAGTACTAACTACTGCAAAGCTCATGGAGGTGGGAAACGCTGTATATTCACAGGGTGTAGTAAAGGAGCAGAAGGGAGTACTCCTCTGTGTAAAGGACACGGTGGTGGGAAACGTTGTCTCTTTGATGGAGGTGGGATTTGCTCTAAGAGTGTACATGGTGGGACTAGCTTCTGTGTAGCTCATGGTGGTGGGAAGAGATGTGTTGTGGCTGGGTGTAGTAAGAGTGCTCGTGGTCGAACTGACTGTTGTGTTAAGCACGGTGGTGGGAAACGGTGTGTGGTTGATGAGTGTGGGAAGAGTGCTCAAGGTAGTAGTGATTTGTGCAAAGCTCATGGTGGTGGGAAACGGTGTTCTTGGGGAGACGGGGGATGTGAGAAGTTTGCTAGAGGGAAAAGTGGTTTATGTGCTAAGCATAACAGTTTTATGTCTAAGGAGAAAGAAGAAGAAGATGGAGGAAGCAAGAGTGGTTTGATTGGACCGGGGCTATTCAGTGGCCTTGTTGTTGGTTCTGCTTCTGATGATCATTCTCAGTCTGAAGTTAGTGCTATACAGTTGGAGAAAAGGCAGCAGAAGAAGGTGATGATACCGATGCAGGTTCTTGTACCTTCATCAATGAGATCTCTAAGTGATTCACATCATGAAGGAGAAACAAACATGTTAGACTTTATGATTCCGGAGGAGAGAGTTCACGGTGGAGGGCTAATGATGTCTTTACTTGGTGGTAGCCTGAAACAACCTTCCACTGATGGAATCTAAATGCTTTCTCTTTGTAAGTGTTACCTGTTGTTCAGCACAAACCTTTGTAAAGCTGTAAATGTGTGTGTGTGTTTTATGTTGCTCTTTTGTTTGTCAACTAAACCGTATTTGAACCGAATTAAACCGGTCTAAAACGTATTACATGTTAAAAAAGTTGCTTAGTTTGGGCCTTTGGTGGGCTTCTTTATAACTACCAATACAATTATTCAACCAAAATCTACTATCTATAGCTTCATTTGAAATTTATTTTATGGATATAATTTGAGAGCCACAACCATTTTCAAGAGAGGAGAGCAACATAAAGAAGATAAAGTGATAAGGAATGCCTCCAACATATAAAAAGACAAATATTTTATGTCATATTCTTTCAATATAGTCCCCATATTACTTCTCTGATATACAAATCAAAACACTCTCTTACCAACGAGAGCAAACAAAGAGAAGACAAGAATGGAGTTTCGTGGAGATGCCAACCAGAGAATTGCTATGATATCAGCTCATCTTCAACCTTCTTTCACTCCTCAGGTTTTTTTCTTTACCTTTTCTTCTAAGTCAAGTTATCTTCTTTGATTCTTCAATGGTTGGATATTAGCATTTAAGTTTCATCAAGGTTCTTAGTTTTTCATGAAGACAAAAACTTAGTGGGTTTGTCTTTCTTCCTGGTTTGTTAGATGGAGGCCAAGAACAGTGTAATGGGAAGGGAAAACTGCAGAGCGAAAGGTGGGAATCCAGGATTCAAAGTAGCTATTCTTGGAGCTGCAGGTGGAATAGGACAATCTCTGTCCTTGTTAATGAAGATGAACCCTCTTGTCTCTTTACTTCATCTCTACGATGTTGTCAATGCTCCTGGAGTCACTGCTGACGTTAGCCATATGGACACTGGAGCTGTTGTAAGTACCTCTCATCTTTTGGAAGCTTATCAGACAATAACTTCTTCTTGCTAATGTCTTTGGTAATCACTATTCTTGATTGGTTTTTTTAGGTTAGAGGATTCTTGGGAGCCAAGCAACTTGAGGATGCGTTAACGGGTATGGATCTTGTGATCATACCAGCTGGTGTGCCGAGGAAACCAGGGATGACACGTGATGATCTCTTTAAAATCAATGCTGGGATTGTTAAGACACTATGTGAAGGAGTAGCTAAATGCTGTCCTAATGCTATAGTTAACTTGATTAGTAACCCTGTGAACTCTACTGTGGCCATTGCTGCTGAGGTTTTCAAGAAAGCTGGAACTTATGATCCTAAGAAGCTCCTTGGTGTTACTACACTTGATGTTGCTCGTGCCAACACATTTGTGGTAAATATGATTCCTCACTCAAAGTTTGGTTTTGTTGATCTTTTTATTTAATTATCAAAGATTTGATTGATCCAATAATATTGTGTAGGCTGAAGTTCTTGGCCTTGATCCAAGAGAAGTTGATGTACCAGTGGTTGGAGGACATGCAGGAGTCACAATCTTGCCACTATTGTCACAGGTTTCATATCAATAGAACAGGAATGTTATTTTCATTACATCATCTTCTCTGCTAATTGATGTTTGGTGGGCTCAGGTTAAACCTCCAAGCAGCTTCACACCATCAGAGATTGAGTACCTTACAAACCGGATTCAAAACGGTGGAACTGAAGTTGTAGAGGCAAAAGCTGGAGCTGGATCTGCAACACTTTCAATGGTACTTTTTAAAACATAATCATAACTTGGTTCTTCTCTTGAACAATGTTCTGAATATTATGTGGAAATGTACTACTACTATAGGCATATGCTGCAGCCAAGTTTGCAGATGCTTGCCTTCGTGGGTTAAGAGGAGATGCGAATGTCATTGAATGCTCTTTTGTTGCTTCTCAGGTGTGAATCCTGAAAAGACTTTTTAGTTTTCTTTCTTTTAATGGAAAGGCTCTACTAACGATTCTGTTTTTTTTTTGGTAATGGCGATTGAACACTACAGGTGACAGAGTTACCTTTCTTTGCAACCAAGGTGCGTCTTGGACGTACAGGAGCAGAGGAAGTGTATCAGCTTGGTCCCTTGAACGAATACGAAAGGTCTTGAAACATTCTTTCATCATCTTTCTTCAAATAATTTGTCTCATAAAAGAAAGCAAAGAGAGATGTGCTGCTTATCATGATTTCTTTTTTTTTTTTTTCTTTTTTCATAATGTACAGGGTTGGTCTTGAGAAAGCAAAAGAAGAATTAGCTGGAAGTATTCAGAAAGGTGTGGACTTCATCAGGAAATGAAATCAAGAATAATCAGAGAGAAAAAATAAAATCTTCATCTTCTTAAAATCATATGATCATGTACTACTTTATTTCATCTTGCCTATCACCTGCTGTTTTCATCTTCAACTTTGTAAAAATTCCTTTATCAGTATATGTATAACACTGTGGTGTCTTAAAACGTACTTCTCTAAGGTGTTTTGATGAAGTGAAGTTTCCACATTAGAGATGTCAACAGCTCCTCAAAACCGACCATTTTAGGATTGAACACAAAAAACATTACAGAAAAAATATATATACATATATATGTCTTCATTTGACTTTCAGCTTAATAGCAAGCAAAACTGCTAGCACATGAAACAACATGCACTGTGAGGAAACGTCATTGCAATGACAAGCTGTGAAAGGTGAAAAGAAGGAAAAAAAATATTGGCTTCGCCCGGGTTCAATGACAAGCTGTGAAAGGTGAAAAGAAGGAAAAAAATAATGGCTTCGCCCGGGTTCGAACCGGAGACCTTCAGTGTGTTAGACTGACGTGATAACCAACTACACCACGAAACCTCTGTGTTAACCATTACAACATTTACATATTTATATATATTCAGTAAAGTTGGTATCACCAACCATACAAAACCTGGAACACGTGATCTGTTATGTAAACTGATATGTCTTGTCCGAAGAATAAAAGGAAGAGCCACCACCGTTTTTAATCTTCTCCATAAAAATGGCGGCTACGAGAGTGATCACTCAGCTCAAACCACCTCTTCTTGTTTCCTTTCCAAACGATCTTTCCTTCTCCCGGCGAAGAACTTATGCGCTACCACTCTATGCTTCAACAGAAGAGCTTTCTCGTTGAAATCAAAACGACCCTTTTCTTGCAATGCGATATACAACCCTCAGTTAAAGGTTAAAGAAGAAGGTCAACCCGAAACCCTAGACTATCGTGTCTTCTTCCTCGATAGCTTCGGAAAGAAGGTACCTACCTTTCTTCTCCTTCCTATTCTCTCTCTCTCTCTCTCTCTCTCTCTCTCTCTCTCTCTCTCTCTCTCTCTCTCTCTCTGTGTGTTAAAGTTCAAAGCTTTGTTATTTGGAATATTCTTGTGGTTAGGTTTGGTTATGCAATGAAAAGATTGTTTCTTTATATCTTACTCATTGTGAAATTTTTGTTTAAAATGCTATTTTGATTTAACTCTGTTCTGTACTTTTTTTCCTGTTAAAAAGGTTGAATATGAGTATTGTGTGTAGGTTTCTCCATGGCATGATATACCGTTGACTTTGGGAGATGGAGTTTTCAACTTTATAGTTGAAATCCCTAAAGAGTCAAAAGCAAAAATGGAGGTTGCTACTGATGAAGCTTCTACTCCTATTAAGCAAAGATACTAAGAAGGGAAAGCTCAGATATTATCCGTACAACATAAACTGGAACTATGGGTTGCTTCCACAGACATGGGAAGATCCATCTCAGGCAAACTCTGAAGTTGAAGGAGCTTTTGGTGATAATGATCCAGGGAGAGTCTGTGATACTCTTTTTACTTTTATCTATTGGAATATGAATCGAGTAGAATTGTTATCAAGCTTATGATTCTTTGGTTATGGATTTGTAGTTGATGTTGTTGAGATAGGTGAAGCTCAAAGGAAGATAGGGGAGGTTCTAAAAATCAAGCCTTTGGCTGCTTTAGCCATGATTGATGAAGGAGAGTTGGACTGGAAGATTGTTGCTATTTCATTGGATGACCCTAAAGCTCATCTTGTCAATGATGTTGATGATGTTGAGAAGCATTTCCCGGTACGAACTTAATCTAGTAGCAGTAGGAACCAGACTAGATTCTCAGGCCTTGTATGGATTTTGTTTCTGACCCTATATAATCTGGTTTATCAGGGTACATTAACAGCAATTAGAGACTGGTTTAGAGACTATAAGATCCCAGATGGAAAGCCTGCTAACAGATTCGGTCTTGGAGACAAACCAGCATACAAAGTAAGTTCCTTTTTACTAAATTTCTCTTGTGGTACTTATCATGTTTGGTGCTGAAGTGTTTTCGTTTCCTTTTTAACAGGACTATGCTTTGAAGATCATCCATGAAACAAATGAATCATGGGCTAAGCTTGTGAAGAGATCAGTTGATGCTGGAGACCTTTCACTTTTTTGAACAGTTTTAACAAAATCATATCTTGCAATGTGTCCAATTGTGAGCTTGAAATGTTTACAGACTCAAGAGTCCTTTTTCATCAATTCTTGTGTCCAATTAGATTTTGTTTCTACCGTTGTTGACTGAGAGATAATAAAAACACATTATTATTAAATTTTGAGAGAGAGAGAGAAGTGAGTGTGGGACTTCGTTGCTCAAAAAAAAAACAGAGTGTGGACTTCAGAGTGACTCTCCATCAATCCATCTTCTGAACATAAGTGAGCATTGGTTTGGATTATACTCAGCAGTGTGTCCTCCTCCCTGCAAAACCCACGCAAATCAAACTCTCTCTATATCCTTATATCCTTTTTCCTTCTACCAGCAGAAGACAGAAACAAAGAAAGGGTTTAGAAGTTCTTGCCTTGATAGTTGCAAATGTCATCGTATTGGCATAGGTCCTTGTATATCTACAACAACATACAATTTGAGTGTGTTTAAAGATCATTTAGAAAGTTGATGAGATTGGAGTTAGAAACATATATATGTCTTTGTTTTTAGTTTACCCAGCGACTTGATTCCTACTCATCATCCAAGGTCTCCAATCATCAACAATGGAATAGTTGAGAGATTTGATCCATGCTTCAGTTGAAGAGAAAGGCACCATCATATCATGATCACCACTGTCCCAACATTTGTGAGTATTTAGTTTGTGACTTGATCAAGATGCACAAAGAATAACATTCAACTAATATTTGTGACTAAAAAAAACACAAAGTATAATGTTGCCTGTAGATGAGAGAGCGGAAGCCTTTACGGCTAATGTTAACGTGATATGGAAAGGCATTGTTAATATCATATGTATATGGTATGTTTTGGGTGTTGCATCTACTCCATTTTCCAAAGCCCTGCATAATATTAACATTCAATTGGTAAAGAAGTGTTAGTTTATCAAGTTTTTATTTAGAACAAGAAACAAAGTTCACATAATATACCTTCTTCACGCCTAAAGCTCTGCGTACATTTTCATCGTTTGCCCAAAAGGCAGACAGAAAATACCTATAAGTCTGAGAATGCGAGAAAGTGTTACCAAATTATAAACCTATTAATATACAAATAACAAAAAAAGAGAACTCATACAAAGCAGCTAGGAGGAGGCAATGATGATGGATCATTTCCTGAAGCCTCCTTTGGATCATTTCTTGAAGACTCCTTTAGTTCTCTTCTTCTACTGGTTCTGATATTTGGTAAGGTTTGTGATATGCCTGCTAAGACGTAATCTACTTTGCAGTTTGGTAACAATATATGTTCTTTGTATATCTCTGAGATACACTAAGAACTCAAAAAACAAAGAGACTAAGTTAGTTTGTGAAAAATGCATACAGATACTCATGTGGTGTTTTTTCTAGTCCTTACCTGATGATAAGCTTGAAGCCCATTTGAGCATTTTGCATTACTTGGGTCTACGTTAAAGAATTTGCCTCCACAATTTCTTTCAAGTGACTGCATATAGTAGTGATGAAAACAAGACTCTAACCAAATGTCTAAATTAGAATCACATGATAAGGATGATGAAGAAAAGAATGTACCTCATAGAGCTCATCTGAAATCAGTCCCATTCGATGCGCAAATGAGACTTTGTGATTTGATTCCAAGTTTCTAAGTACTGCAGGGTTTCCAAGCACATATCCCTGCTCAGTTATATAAACTATTAAATCTCAAGCCAATATATATTGGTATTCAGTAAAATAAAAGGAGAGAATAGAGTTTTGTTACCTGAATATTTATGAGTGGTGTGAGACCTTTCTCATTTCCTGTTTTCATATTGTATAATGTGTCTAAAACATTTGATCTAAAAGATACAGAAAAAACTGCAAGAAGGGTATAAGTGAGTGGTAACTAAAAATACCAAGTGAAATATGTTGCACAACTCCTGGAACAATCTTCCCGGAATATGAATCTCCACCAACGTAAAATGGATTAGATATGAACTCGGGGTGATCCACAAACCACTACAAAGCAAGAACATATATAGTTAAATTTTTTAAAGAAAATTTCCAAACCATCAAGAAAGGTATAAGAAAGAGAGAGAGGACTCAACACTCCTAAGGAACTGGTCGATTTGGTGAATTTGTTTGGTGTCACTCGTCTCAGAAGCATGCCGAGTTTTAGCATAAGAATATCCAGAACCAGGAGGAGATTCCAAATATAAAATGTTAGCCACCTGTAAAAAAGTTTGAGGATACATTTACACATTCTCTTTAAAAGCAAGTTGTTGGTATTACAGAGGAGATCATTATAAAAATGATAATAATCTCTCGCCTTTGTCCAAGAAAAAGATGTTAGCTCTAGAGGAGGCAGTGTCCCATTATAGTCATCCCCTTTAAAAGCCAAAGGACCTGACAACAAGTTTATTTTTTTAAATATCAGACAAACACATGCATAAACTAAACTATTTATTACAAACACACATGCATTAATTAGGCTTGTCTTAACCCTCTGAAGATTACAAAATACTATCACACAACACATGCAATTAAACCTTTTAATACAGAACACATGCGTATAAGTTAAACTTGTTTAAACTTTTAAATGTAATTTCAAGGCAGGATCCCCAATGGGAAACATGAGATCACATAACACATGCGCCAATTAAACTAATAGTTAGTAGGACTTATTAAATACAATAGATCAAAAAAAGAGATTTGTTTACCATTTGCAAAGAGGAAACCACAAAGAGAGCTGCATCCAGGCCCACCAGTTAGCCAAATCATGAGAGGATCTTTATCCTGATTTCTCTCTGATTTCACAAAGTAGTAAAAGAGCTCAACATCTCCAGATTCACCAACACTCACATACCTTATTATATAAATCACATGCAGCGAAGAAAAAAGAGTCATGTCTTAGATTAAGGATTTTTTATTTGTTTTCTTCTTCTGAATTTGACAAATTGGAGTGAAGAAATAGACTTTTTGTTTACCCTGTCTCGAGCTCAAAAGGAAGAGGACGTTCAAGACCAGGAAGATACTTCACATGCAAAGAAGCATCGACCAAATGATGTATGGAGATTAAGATGCTCAACGGAAATAAGAAAAGAAAGTAAAGATTTCTCATGCTATCTGCTTCTTAGTGTCACTAGCTTTGCATGCGAATCAGTATCTCAACGAAGCGTAAGCCCAAATGCGAAGAAAGAAGACTGCGGATTTGAGTGAAGACAAATTAGCAACCGCAGTGCTCGAAACGTGGCTATCGTTTACGTAATAAGCGTGTTGGCGCCCAGTGTTTTGTTAACCGGACCGGTTGGACTGGTTGACTAGAGGAACTTCAGGGCTCCACAACTAAACCAAAGTGTGGATCATCAACGATCGAAGTCTACCTATTTTTTCACAGCAAAATTTTCTATCAATTATGATCTATTGAGAATTTCTACAACTGTGGAAGTCCTTGGATCCAGTGATTTTACCAAATGTTCATTAATAATTCAGGATTCAGGAGATATGGATTTCAGTTCCCGAAAAACGAATTATATTGAATATAAATTCTAGATTTTGATCTCATAGAAAAGCTTAGAGTGATGTAGTCATAAGTTAATCTGCATAAGTCATACGTTAATCCGCATAAGATATATAATATTACCGATTATAATATTTGTTTTCTCATAATATGAGTTTTAAAAAAATAATATCTACAACTAAAATCCAAATTTAATTTATAAAATATCTTAATTCGAAAAAGAGTTTTGATAACTTTGTATTAAGTGTTTTTAAAATTTGAATATATAATATACCCATGAAATTTTAAACTACAATCATAAAGTTTACTTCTTAAGTGTTAGATTGGTAAGAACTTTCATTTTAGGTTGTGGATTTAGAAAGTTGGCTGAAGTGGCTATTAAAACTGTTTGATATTATTTTAAATATATAAAAATAATAGTAATAAATCATAATATCAGTAAAGAATATTTTTTTACTATAAATATTAAGTTATTAAAATCATAAAAAAGAATAACATATATATGAAAAAGTAATACAATATAAATATTAAGCAACAATAAAAAGATAACAGTAATTAATTGACCAAACCAAAATTTATGATAAAATTAACATAAACTAGAATAAGTATTTTAGTTACTATAGTGAAAAAATTGTATTTTATAACAAAAATAAAGAGATTTGCTTTGTTTTCAAAACTACGTAAATAAGGGTTTAGAAAAATCTGTGAAAAGAGAGATAAATAGAAAATGGTTTTGCCAACTTTGGATCCATTAAATTTTGAGAAAAAATCTTAATTGGTAAAAATGAATTTTAGAAGCTGTTTAATCTCATAAGATCTCAACATTCCTAATATTTCAATCCATAAATCAAAAATCTTAAAGTTGCTGTCTCTACCAAACAAACCCTAGTTAATTGTATTTTCCTCCAAAATCCAGATTGTAATTATAGTTCATACATTGAACCAAATATACAATTAAAATTTGTAGGAAATTAAAAATAATATTATCGTTTGAAACCATTTATTAATCACATGATCAAGATTTACTAATGATTTATGTGATTTTCACAAAATCTTTTAAGATTAGACAATATCTAAGATTTTGGAAGAACTTTTAGTATCACGTAATATCTATTATCTAAAAACCCATTAAAATCTACAAAATCTCTTATATTTGTAAGTTGCTATGTTTTTCCTTATAAACACACTTCAAAATAATATTAGCTTACCTGTATTTTAACTATATTCTAAAAACATTCTATTATGTTTAAGAATAAATGTTGACACTTATTTGGTGTATTAAACAAATTGGTTTATAAACTTTGAAACAAATAATATGTTATTTGCTATGGAACTATTTATTGGAACAATATATGTATTAATAATATAAGCAAACATACTAAATTGTTATATTTATAAAGAAATACAAATAAAAATTGTCCATGTGGTAAAACATGATAAATGATAAATAACTTATGTACATAGCACTTTGATAAGAGAGACTATAGTCCAACACAATATAGTCAAACACAATTTAAGAGCACTTCAGCGGTTCGTTTTTGCTAGAATTTCTTTAAGACCATCTACAATGGATGAGTTGAAAGTGAGTTTCAACTGTTGAATGCCTTACAATGAAGGTGTTGAAATATTGTGTTTATTTATGTGGATTTAACATCCGTTGGAAAGTTTCAACATGTTGATAAAATTTTATGTGGACCAGCTTTGCCGCTTGGCGTAAATTGATTGGATATAAATGTTGTGCAGATTTATTTTATTTTTATTTTCACCTAATAATAAAACTCATTTATTATATAATATTTTTTATTTTAAAAAAATAAAAGTTGTATCAAAATTCATAACTTTTTACAAGCTATAATTTGAGACTACTCTCATATCATTACACAGAAAAAATCTCACTTTTTTTTTTCCTATAATTAACTATTTTAATGTTTTAAACTTTTTTTGTTAAATAAATTCTAATAATAAATTTTCAAAAATTCAAAATTCTTTATATATAAAGTTATATTCCGTGTTCGAAAACTGAAAACTCGGACGCCTACCTGAGTACTCGTCCGGCTAGGCGATCGGCAGTAAGCCAACACCGCGATTAAGACATAATCGCCGAAGCAACTCGGATGACCAAGTAATTGACTGATGAGGCGATTAATCGGATCATAAACCGATTTTATTCCGCCTAACAACCAAATAAATTTTACTCCTTTGCACAATGTGGGCCTTACATAACACAAAGCTCATTCACAAGTAAAGACTCATTAGATCTGGCGATTATTTATAGATGTCTTTAAGTCTGCTTGGGATCCTGCTGATTTGCGTCTTTTAAAATATTTCGAAAATATAATATGCACAAGCGATAGTCGAACTGTAGACCTGACACCGCGGTAGCATCATCACTTGCCACTACACCACCGCATCTTATGATGTTTTTATATGTATTTTGATTTTTATATCTGTATTCTGTTATATATATTTTTATTTATAGTAAAAATATATAAAAACTAATCTCCGATTACTCCCCGGTTAATCCCTGATTTTTTACTAACTCGCTAGGCGTGAGCCGGCCGCCCGACTAATGCCTAGCGTATTTTCGAACATTGGTTATATTATTTTTATTTTTAAGTTAATTAGAACTAAGAACATTATTAACATATAGTTATTATATTATAAAGATAAAAGGATAAATTAAAAATGATGGGACATGGTGTTGAATTTTTATAAACAAAATATTGTAGAAGTTAAAAATGAAGAAGGTGCTGAATAAATTATGCGGATGAAAGAGAAGATGATGTGGAATGTTAAAAAGAGAAAAATAGAGTGTTGAAAATGAAATGGGTGTTGAAACCATTGTACATGGTCTAAGTAAAAATCAATATACAAATCAAAAGTAAGAGAGAGACACTAGAAAAATGAAAGAACGATTATTTAAGATTTTAAGAACATGATTAACCCTACAACGTTATAAAAGACTCTTAATGACTTTTAAATAATAAATGTTAGCTAAGAATTTTATCAAGAAACATCAACATTTTTTGTACTCCAATGCTAGATTTTAATTAAAGGTTCTTAAGAAAAACCATTGAGTACAAAGTTATTTGGAAAATTAAGTTCTATCTATTCCACTACACAGCCCCTTAAAAAGCTTACGTTATACAGTTTGCATCAAGGGATAGTTTACCTATATCATAAGCCTGACAAGGTTACATGCTGAAACTACAACTGTATATGAAAGACTATCAGCTATTTCTCTAAAATGACATTTGAAGAAGCATGATAATTTCTTACCGAGTTCCTTGGAGATGAGTCTTGAGATGATACATGGACCTTCCTTCTTTACCTCCATCTCTTTGACAAGAGATATAGCATCAAGCTCTCATGTTATCTTTCCCTTTAGTTTCTTGCAAATACCATGAACTGATGCGGTGTAACAAAAACCAACATGTTTGCTTCCTTCACTGCATCGGTTTAGATTCAACATTTTTAAGAATGTAAATAGATCATGTAAAAGGGTAAAAAAGCTCATCACAAACCAGAAAATTCAAGGTCATGATCCGCAACAACATTTCTTCCTAGCTTATTCCCGGGAAGGTACTTACATTTTCCTAATCAAGAAACCAAGAAAGCATTTTTCTTTATGTACTCTATAAGATTTGAAGCATCTTTGGTTAAGTACTCTGTAAGACTTGAAGAAAACAAAGTTTCAATCATAGAGAGGAAGAAGAAATATACTTGATCAAGAGCAAACTCCAAAGGAACAATAAACTTGATCAAGAACCCAATGATCATCTCATCTCCATTGCAACATCATTGCACAGAAGCAGTGACACTAAAAGCTGATGTTGTTTCTGAACAACCGGGAATATCGCAGGTAAAGAAAAATCACCATCATCAATCAAAATAAATAAATAGGAACAATGAAAGAGAGATGATTACAGGCTTGTTTCTTCTCGTTGGGAATGCCACTGCATTGGAGAATCTCGAGCTCCACGAGACCGAGAGACATGAGCCCCAAAGTCAGACCAGAAATGATTCCCGCGAACAGAACGAGGAAACACGAGACGCCTACGTAGATGAACCACCACCACGATCCAAACGGGATCGCCTCTCCTCCTCCTCCGTTAGATTGTCTGAATCCGTACATCATCCTCCCCGGCGCCACTGCATTGATCAGTTGCATTTTTTCTTCTTCTTCAGATCTTAAAGCAAGATCAGAAAAGAGGGCTTGATTGATTATTTTAAGACCTTATACACTGAATCATGTTTCTCTCTCTGTGTGATTCTGTATAAGACACATCTGTGTGATTCTGTAGAAGAAAGTGGCTCGTGAAATCGAAGAGGAAGACAATAGAAAAGGAAGAAGGGAGAGAGAGAGACGAAGAGCCATCACAAGAGGCGCCTTTCCATAAGTGAACAAACACTCGCCTCGTACTTCTTTTTCATTTTTTAATTAATTTTTGGGCTTAAGAGCCGAGTAATTTTAGGCGTTAAAGATGGTCTAAGAAGAAACTACTCACCTTTTTAAAGAGTTTCATTTTACAGGTGTTTCCCATAAAATTTTGACATTTTTAGTTTTAATTAAAAAATCATCTTATTTCAAAATATTACTAAATTTATTGGTATAAAATTCAACTTAAGAAACTTATCACCAATGATGCTCTGAGCAACTAATATATATTTAAACAATTAAAATTTGTCAAATAGTATTAAATGTTATCTATGACAAAATGAATTTCATGGATAAGAGTTTTTATTTGTTACCATAGAATCTTGAAACTATGTAATTGGTGCCTCGTCCAAGCTCGAAAACATCTTCTTCAAAGTCGAAACTTAGTGAATTGTCTTCTACTCCAAAATTCGGATTGTAAACTATGAATATGTATGGTTATGTAACTAACAAAGAGAATACAGTGTACAACCACTGTACAAATGTTTTGTGTTATTTCATTCGCACAATGTTAAAAATTCATAAAACATAAAAAAAAATGATTTGTCCAAGATGGAGAAAAATATTAAATAACTAAGCCCATTGGTAGTAGATGATTGGTTGAGATAATTTAAAGGAGAAATAGGTTGAAAATCCAAGTTAAAAAGACCATGAAGTTATTTAAAAACAAAAATTTAATCATGAGAACCAAAATAAATTAGCATCTGAAGCTATAAGATCTAAATTAGATTTAATGTTTGACAAAGTCTTTTACCTAAAAGATATTAAACATAACTCAACCATTTTTATCTTAATTTCTATTAACATCCGCTTATTAGAATTAATTAAACAAACTCAAACATTTTTTAGCTTAACTTCTATCAACCTCAGTTTATTAAAATTTAACATATTTCTTCAGATAGTTTACAACTGTTTATTAAAGATTATCTCACCTTTTTGGATAGACAACAAGTTTGTTTTATTCTTTGGTACAATTAACTTGAATACAACATCATTTCGTTGTTTGGTTGTATTTGTAAGAATAATATAATGTAGATATATATTTAGAATAAAGTAAAATACAAATTCAACCTTGTTTTAAAACATTTTTGGCCAAATGTGTCCTCTTTTTTTTTGTATCGCCTAAATTAAATAATTTTACTATAAAACCAAAAATTTCATTACATTTGTGGAGCATAGCAACCCTTCCTTACATTATTCAAGCTTTAATTTATTGATACATTTCTCAGTAATTGCATAAACTCAATCATTTTATTTATATTTATCTATTAGATACGAATCCTCTTTGATTAAGAAATAGAGATACAAATCCTCTAAGCAGGTCAGAGTGTTTGATAAGTATTCGTCCACGTCAGCTTAAGCAACCTTGTTTCTCTTTGTACTTCATGTCTAATTGCATGTTTTTTCTTTGGTAAAATTCTAATTGCATGACGCATTTAACACAGCCATGACTCGTAAAAGAAGAGCTAAACGTAGCATCACAGTATAACATTTATTACCTCCAACATTTCAACAACTTCGATATGGTCTGAGAACAAAGAAAAGAAAAAACAAACAAACAAACATAGCCTTCAAAAACCTAAGAGCATCTCCGATGTAAAACTCTATTTTTTCTTTCAAAATAAAATAAAAATAATTATGTAGTAAAAATGTTTCAATCCCATTCTATTTGTAACTCTATAATGGAATAATAAACAAATAAAAAGTAGATTACTCCATTTATGGAATAAATCTCATTATAGTAATAAATGAAGTGGAGTTGAAGTATTTTTTACTCTATAATCACTTTTATTCTATTTTGAAATAAAAAATGTAATTGTATCCTCAAATCATATCCCGAAACAAACTGTTAGATATTATTTTATCAGCGAAACAAAGTTTCTCCTCTCTTTTATTACAGTCTCGTTCATCTCAAAGAAACTCTTCCTGGAGACTTTGGCAGCTTAAACCAAAACAATCTTCAATTAAAGAGCTTTGTGAAAGTTTTTTTTTTAATGGGTCAAGAGCGAGTGAGTACTCTTGCTAGTATGATAAAGCGCCGCTAATGCAGTAAGCGAGTTCATCTGAGGCTGGTAAACAGGGAGGTGAGGGGAAAAGAGGACGAAAGCTTTGGTTTTCTGAGAACTATGTTCTTCTTTTGCCATCTTTATATCCCCAGAGATTGTAGACAACATGCGTCTTGGTGTTCCCACACCAAGAGCTCCAAAAAGAGCTTTAATTGCTTGCCCAGTAGCAGCTTTTGAATGCTAGAAGAATTGAGATGAGGATCAACCAAGCACAAGCATAAGTTAAGCTACTCTTAAAAATTACAAGAGAAAAAGAAACCCAAAAGTGTGGAGACAAATACATGTTACCTTCTCTCCTCTCTATTGGCATTGCTTGTGTTGGTAGTTCCAGACCAGTCCCAACAATGTCATTCACACCAGGTTTCGATCTATAAAAATCGAAGACACATAGCCAAAAGCACAACTACAAAGTGTTTCTTCTATATGTTTTTGAATCCCATGGAACAAAGGAAACATACCCGGAAGCTCTAAACAAACTTGCATAGTTTTGACCAGTGTATGAACTACCACATGAAGGTTGAACATTAGAAGTAGAACATTAAGCGTCGATTTTTTAAACGTTTCTGTTAAATCAACACCTTCACATATTATAACAAGAGTTTTTTTTTGCAGAGACAGCAACATTAAGTTCCGTTCACTACAAAAAAAAAAACTTATTCCAGACACAGATTAACTGCTCGCTGTTTTTATGGCAAAAGCTCCTTGGACAGAACCCAACCATAATCTAACCTACCTTCTTAACCCAACTGACAAGAAATGACGCACACTCATCACTTCTTCACTTCCTCGTAGTCAGCTTCTGGAGTTTGATCACTCCCTCCCTGAGATCCTCCTCCTGGTGCAGATCCTCCACCTGACATGTGCTCTCCTATCTTCGAAACAGCTTTGTTTGCTGCATCGATCTTAGCCTTTATCTCATTCAGATCATCTCCAGACAAAGCGCTCCTCAGATCCGCCACAGCATCTTCGATCTCCTTGGCGACTTCACTCGGGATCTTCTCTCTATACTCACCGAGGCTCTTCTCTATGCTGTAAATTGTTGTGTCGGCTGTGTTCTTGGTGTCGATCAAGTCTTTTCTTTCTTTGTCTTTCTGAGCATGCAACTCTGCGTCTCTCACCATCTTCTGGATATCATCCTCTGACAGCCCACCAGATGATCGGATTGTGATCTGTTGCTCTTTACCAGTCGTCTTGTCCTTGGCAGAGACAGTGACAATGCCATTTGCATCGATGTCAAATGTTACTTCGATCTGAGGGATGCCTCTTGGTGATGGTGGAATGCCCACTAGATCGAATTCTCCCAATAGCTTGTTGTCTGATGCCATCTCACGCTCACCTTGAAGCACTTTGATCCCAACTTGGGTCTGATTGTCTGCTGCAGTTGAGAACACCTTCAAAAGAAAGAAGCAATATTTTAGGACAAACTTGCATATGATAGTATCATCAATTATCATATCACATAATTGTGCTTTGACTCTCAACATATTATAAGAATGTAACCATGTATCATGGCATATCTTGCTGAGCAACAATAAAGAACTAATTCTTATAGGTGCCTCACACTACCCTAGTTTGCCCTACTGTTATTTGGTAATCAGAATTCCTAGTCAAAAGGACAGAACATTGCAGGCATACCTGACTCTTCTTCGTGGGGATGGTTGTGTTTCGCCCAATCAATCTTGTAAAGACACCACCAAGTGTTTCAATACCAAGCGACAGAGGTGTCACATCTAGAAGTAACAACTCTTTGACATCACCACGAAGGATACCACCTTGAAGTGCAGCTCCCATAGCAACAGCCTCATCAGGGTTGACACCTTTGCTAGGAGTCTTCCCAAAGATCTCCGCGACAACATTTTGCACCTTAGGGACACGAGTCATTCCTCCAACGAGGAGAACCTCATCAACTTCCTTAGCACTTATACCAGCATCCTTGAGACAGTTCTTGCAAGGATCACGGGTCCTCTCAATCAAGTGATTCACCAAAGTTTCAAACCTTGACCTCGTTAGGGTGATGTTGAAATGCTTTGCTCCAGATGCATCAGCTGTGATAAACGGCAGATTAATCTCAGTTTGAGAAGTTGATGATAGCTCAATCTTCGCCTTCTCAGCAGCTTCTCGAAGCCTCTGCAGAGCAAGTCTGTCTTTCGCGAGGTCTATTCCCTCACTGGTCTTGAACTCATTTACCAAGAAGTCTAACAGAGCATTATCAAAATCCTCCCCTCCCAAGAACGTATCACCATTGGTGGCTTTCACCTGGAAAAAAAAAATCAATGTTAATAAAAAGAACAATCCTCAAACCAAAAAAACTGATAAACAAAAAGAACACTTTACCTCGAAAACCCCATTAGAAATCTCCAAAACAGAAACATCAAACGTCCCACCACCAAGATCAAACACAGCAATCAAACCCTCCTTATTAGTCATACCATACGAAAGAGCAGCAGCCGTTGGCTCATTAATAATCCTCTCCACATCCAAACCAGCAATCCTCCCAGCATCTTTAGTAGCCTGCCTCTGAGCATCATTAAAGTAAGCCGGAACAGTAACAACAGCTTTCTTCACAGACTTCCCCAGATAAGCCTCTGCAGTCTCCTTCATCTTCGTCAACACAAACGCTCCAACCTGACTAGGAGAATACTGCTGACCATTCGCCTCAACCCAAGCGTCACCATTAGGTGCACGCACAATCTTGTAAGGCACCATCTTCATTTCCTTCTGCGTTTGTGGATCATCAAACTTCCTCCCAATCAAACGCTTTGTGCCAAAGAGTGTGTTCGTTGGATTGGTCACAGCTTGTCGCTTGGCTGGTGTGCCAACAAGAAGCTCCCCTTTAGGGTTGAAAGCTACAACTGATGGTGTGGTTCGAGCACCTTCAGCGTTCTCAATGACTTTTGGATTCTACATTACACAACAAAAAGTCAGCTCCACATAAAAGCTCATAAATCAAGACTCATATGATCACAGTTATTAGATCCAGAGAGATCGAGCATCGAGCTCAGTGAGAAAGAAGATAAATCTGTTTATTCATATTATGATTCTGTTACAATGTAACCAACACTCTTAGACCATCTCCAACATGAGGTTCCTATCATCAGAATATAAAAATGTCTCTTAACTTTTAACTAAAGAAACTAAAAAACTAGTTCTTAGTTTTTTAATTAAAACTAAGAACCCGGCCTTAAGAACCTCCATTGGAGGTGAGTCTCTGACTATATTATATATACAAAGGTCTTAACCGGTTTAAACCACATATAACCGTAATAGAATCTAATAACAAACTCACCTTCCCTTCCATAACTGCAACACAGGAGTTAGTTGTACCCAAATCAATACCGATGACGTCATTCCCAGCAGGCTTTGAGCTGAATCAATTATAAGAGAAACTTTAGAGCTCGGTGTTAGCGAATTATGGAAAGATTAAAATCAAATACCTAAATGCTCTTTTCCAATTCTGAACAAGATAAGAGGCGTTAGATGATGTTTTCCCGTTACTCGAAAGCTGCATGATCAGATCAGGTTAAGATTGCAATTAAGTGAAGTTAAGATCATACAGATCCGTGAAGATAGAAGATGATCGTACGGAGACGGGAGAGACTTACGTATTTGAAAGGTGAGAAAGGAGTGGAAGCGACTTCGCGGCGTCGGATCGAGCGGAGGAGAGCGGCGGTAGCCATGGTTTTGAAGTTTCACGATGCGATTCGGAAGATGCAAAACGATGCGATGAAAATGCGTCTTAGGGTTTAGGGTTTTTTGAAGGTACGAAAGTTGTTTTTTATAGAGAGAAAGAGAGAAGGTTCTAGGCGGTGATGCTTCTCGACGTCGACGATGATAAAAATGCTCGGTTACAAAAATGTACACGAAGGCTTATGAAACGACGTCGTTTGACGAAATCGACTAGTTTGTAATTCAAGGATGAAACAAAACCGTAGCCATATTACAAACTGAACCGAAATGTAAGGCCGGTTATGCTATCTTTTACCGGTTTACCCCCGAACAAAACCGGTTCAAGAAAAGAAAACTACTCTCCTTCTTCAGCTATTTATAACTTAATCAGCCTTTTGGGCAAAAAGGTCATAGACATGAGATTTGAGATCGGTCTCTTGAGGAGTGTGTGTGTTCTCATGTTGGATTCACCGCACTCCATTGATTATATTCATCCATTCTTATGATGAATGAGCTTGAACAACAAGTTCCACCTCCACCATAAGCCTTTTTAATGAAAACATAATGTAAGTCTAATCGATCATTAAACCTAAAGAGCTTACAGTCAAGTTTTAAAACAAACAAACAAACCTTAGCAACTTCAGATGTATCTGTAGTATCGTCAGTACTTCTCAAGCACATTTTGAGATTGTTCCGTTGCATGAACGTAACAGCTCCTATTGGCCTGCTTTTAAAGACATCTTTACTAACATCTTACTATCCACAATTCTCCATAAGGAAAATTAAAAAATCTACCTCAAACCAGCTGCAGCACTTTGTAGACTAAGTAGCTTCCCTAGTTCATCGCTTAGTTCATGGTTACCATCTGCACGCATTCCCTATACCATTAAAAAAAAAACAAATCTATAATTCAACTCAACCAATAATTTTATCGAAACAAGAGGAGTTTGATGCAAAGGGGTTACCAGGCATTCTCCATAAAACCCTCTTCCTAATCTGATCTTAAAAACTTTATTCTGCTTCAGCACTCTCTTTGCATCAACAAGCCGATTTGAAAAATAGGAATTCCCGTAAGCAATGAGATCCTCTGAACTGATCCTCAACAGCTACCAACATAGAAACATGAAAATGATTCCACTGAAGAATGATACAAGGACATGCTCAGATTCAACTCCCAACGAACCTGTTCATACATGTTCGGATTCGTGATGCAGTTAACCCTTGACCGCCACTCCTTTAATCCAAAGCTGAAAGCCTTGATATCTGGCAATCTCCATCGTCTAAGATCAATATCTTCAATGTAATCAAGAACCGATTCAACACGAATTCTATCTCCATCATCTAACAAACTGAGAGACTCCCCCTAACCACAAAACACACTGTTCAGATTACACACCAATCAAAAGCAGAGTCATTACTAAATGTCCTAACTAACCTCAGAAGATGTGAGTTTACTAGAGAAATATTCATACACAGCCTTTGAGCTACTCTTGTCAACATCAACATTAACCTTAACATTAACCCTCTTCTTCACTAAACCAATCTCCAAAGCTGCTGACTTCCGATGATCAAAACATATAACCCTAAACCACCAACACACACAAAGATTAAACCCTAAACCCTAAAGATCAAAACTTTAATTAGTAAAGTCTGAAACATTACTCGCAATCTGTAGTTATAGCAGTAAAGTCTTTAGGAGCAACGAAATCGAGGAGGTAACACCTCTCGAACCTCTCCAAGGAGAGATCTTTGACACTAAAGGGCACGACGGAAGAGAAGGGCAAGATGAGAGAAGGGAGGCGGAGACGAGAGTGGTGGAGATGAGCGAAGAGAGCTGAGAAAGCGCCGGAGAAGGAAGGGTAATTGTATAGAATCAAGTTTGGTACTTTCTCTTCCAACGCGTTGGTTATGGCTTCGAGCGCCGCGTCTGATCGGAAACTACGACGGAGCTTGTACGTCGCCGGTAGAAATCGCCGGGAAATCATTCTACGGTTGAGATTTTGAGAGGTTTTTTCACGATTGAGATTTTTTTTTTTTGAAACGGAGGATTTCGGCTAAATTGCTTTTTAGGACTTAAACTTTACATTTGTTCTTAGTTTACCCTTATAGTATTTTCTTGTAATATTAAACCCGAAAATGAAAAACATTGATTATAGTTTTGACTTGAAAAAAAAAAAGAAAAACATTGATTATTATAGAGAATGGCAAGATCCTAAATCATTACATCACGAAGAAAGACCACGATATTTGGATGACAAATTTTTCAATAACTGGCAAATAATTTGACTGAAGCCTTTAGGTGGTTAAAGTGGCATGGAACTCTTCTTGCACTTACACCACATGTCCATCAACGATTGACATTTACTTATGTCTGTTTCATACTCGTCCAGGCACTACACACACAAAACACACAAAGATAACCCAACAATAGAAAATGGAAGAACGAAACCAAATATCAAATCAAGTCAAAGCAAGTCTAGCTAGTTTTTTTTTTTTTTTTGAACAAACAAACCAAACCTACAGGGTATTAAAATAAACTTACATCCTGGAAAGCTTTGGCTTGAGTGACACATGCAATGGAACCACTGGTATTTGCAACTTCGGCTGCTGCTGCTACAGGGTCTTTCTTAGAGGCTTGGTAGGTTTTTATAGCATCCTTAATTTCTTCCATGAAACCAGAAGACATCCCTAGTTCGAAAAGAAATAAGAAATGATGTTCCCATTAAGCATTAACAAGGCGAATGTAACCAAACAGTTATCTAAGAGATTACGTTAATCTTCTAAAAAGGATAGTTAAAACGCATACCTTCATCACTACTACTACGACGTTTCCACCAGGAGAAGTCGTAATCGTCACTAGTACTTCCGCTCGAGTGGTAGTCATGACGAGCTGAAATCCATGAATAAAACACACATAACATCACAAAAACGAAAAGAAACCTATAAAGATTTTGTTTCTAAAAATGAAAAAAAAAACTATAAAGCTTATAAATCGATTGAATAAATGTCACTAAATGATTTTTCCAGATATATGACTACTAAATACAACGAAATATTACCAGTCTCAGGAGATGGAGTGTAGCTTGCAGTGCGTGGAGTAGATGTTTCTGAGCAGGCAAGAACCAAAAGAAAAACGTTACAAATCTCACATTGAAAAGTGTAAACGTTATTAACGTAGAACACAAAAACATGCTGAACTGGAAGTAAGAAGAGAAAAGTGAAATCATATAATTATACATAATAAAACTACACAATTCTTTTCAAAAAAAAAAAACTATACAATAAAATAAGAAACGTCGATGAACGACCAAGAGAGCCATATATTACATAACAAAACTATTAAATATTAAATTTATTACCAGTCTTAGGAGGTGAACTGTAGCTTGAAGGACGTGGAGTAGATCTTTCTGGACAACCAAGACAAAAAAATCGCTATAAATCTCACACTTAAAAGTGTAAATGATGTAGCAAAACGAACATGATGAACTGGATGGAACCAAGGGAAAAAATGACATATTTAAAGTGAAACTAAACAACTAGAGAAGAGCGAGTTGCAATTTAAAGCTATTATTTGCCTAAACACGCAAATTTTCAGAAGTGCTACTTCCAAATTATTTGTCTCCAACGAAATATAACTCCAAACTAAAAATTTAATCACCAGTATGAACAGATGGGCTGTGTGAAGCTGTTGATCGAGGGCGAGGAGAAGATCTGCCTGCACAACCAAACAACAACAAAAGACATCATTAGATTGATTTACATATATACAATATAAAAAATAAAAAGCCTACAAAGCTAAAAATACTTTTAGATATCTAAATGTACTTGCACGTTTCATTACTATTACTGTGACTACGTCCTTGATAAACGTTTGACAATATTATGCAAACTTGATTGCTAGATTTACAGTGGAAATATATAGTTCTAGTTAATATACTTTTATTAATTTTATCACATTGATCACACTCATTTAGCCTCTCTATGAGATCTATTGACGAAATGAAATTTACCACTACTACTACTACTAGTAGAGCGGCCGCTTGAAGATGATGCGGGAGAGCGAGATGCAGATCTTGCTACACAAACAAGGAAAAAACATTACATAATACACATGAAAGCCAAAAAAAAAAAGTGATCATCGGATAAACCCTAATACATCCAAAAACAAAAGGGATTATATAAGGAATTTACTAGTTCGAGAAGACGAGCTAGAGGAGGAGGAGGAAGATGACTTAGAGGAGGATGATCTTTCTGCACGAACAAGGGAAAAAAGGAAGAAAGTATACAAACAAATCACTCAATTTAACTTCGTTAAAGAGAATCTCGTAGACATAAATATAAACACATTTATAATTTTACCTTCGTGTCTTTTCCTAGGCATTGTGAAGATTTTAGACGATGAATAAGTGATGAATTATCTGGATAAAAAAACTGGCCCAGCATATATATATAAAATATTTTGATTGATTTGCAAGTCGATTTCTCTTGGAGGAGAAGTTTACTTTACCTACACGTTTTTGCATCCCAAGTCAAAAGATAATATATCGGGAGTGTAGTGGCTAGGAAGATACTATATATCTTAAGAAAGTATCTCAATATATAATAAAATAGCATATACATATATAAATATTAGTGGATACCATAAAACAAAATCCACCACAATAATTTCTCAAAATGGATAATATCTGAAATACAATAAACTAATATGTAATTTATAAAAGATTAGGAGCTTTCATATTTAAAACTATCTATTATTTTATTATAACTAGGTGTTTTGCCCGCACATACGGGCTTAATTATATTTAAGTCAATTTAAAAAATTATTAAAATAAATGATTGTTTGAATCCAAATAATTCGATCTAAAACATTAAACTTATTTACATTGATAAAGTTATTCACAAATTAAAAAAAAATCTATGTTTTCCTTTAAAATTTTGAAAAATCTAAACTCTATTTCATTTCTTCTTAATTGATAAAAAGTATAGAAATCTATCGTTCAATTTGAAAATTGAATTGATAAATATACATTCAAAAATTGATCTCACAAAAAGAATAAAAATAGTTTGGATAATAATACAATATATTTGAATTTATTTTTGTCAAACACGTAATTTCTTTCTTTTTAATGATCTTTGTTATTTGATTATTGTTATTTATTTCTCACGATTCATGTTTAAGGTTTAACTATATAAAATATAAACATAAATTTAATTTAACGTGTGAGTTTAGAGGCGAAAAATAAATTCACGAATATATATCATTATATTATATTATTATTTTAAATTGAAAATAATGATGTATTATACTTTTTCAATTTTCCCTTTTGAATTATATACAATTAAATATTTTACTTTATGAATATTTATTTACGTGTTTTCTATTTTTGATTTTTTTATCAAAAATATATTTTCCGGAATTATGTATTTATTTTATTTTTAAATATATATTTAAATTATGGATAATTCTTATCGTTATTATTAATTTAAATCATTTATATAATCAAATAAATATTAAATTCGTTTTTATTTTTAGCTGATTTATATATTTTATTCATTAAGGGTATAAACGGTATTTTCAATTTGAAAATTGAATCGATAAATATACATTCAAAAATTGATCTTACAGAAAGAATAAAATTATTTTGGATAATAATACAATATATTTGAATTTTTTTTTTCAAACACGTAATTTCTTTATTTTTGAATGATCTTTGTTATTTGATTATTGTTATTTATTTCTCACGGTTCATGTTTAAGGTTTAACTATATAAAATATAAACATAAATTTAATTTAACGTGTGAGTTTAGAGGCGAAAAATAAATTCACAAATATATATCATTATATTATATTATTATATTATTTTAAATTGAAAATAATGATGTATTATACTTTTTTCAATTTTCTCTTTTAAATTATATAAAATTTAAAATTTTACTTTATGAATATTTATTTATGTGTTTTCTGTTTTTGATTTTTTTTATCAAAAAATATATTTTCCGGATAATAACACAATATATATAAGAATTATCTATTTATTTTATTTTTAAATATATATATTTAAATTATGGATAATTCTTATCATTATTATTAATTTAAATCATTTATCTAATCAAATAAGTATTAAATTCATTTTTATTTTTAGCTGATTTATATATTTTATTCATTAAGGGTATAAACGATATTAACCACTTAATATCATTAATCTGAACCTTTAATTTGCATATATTGTTCCCTGGTTTAATATCATTAATCAAAACTAAAGTAGTTGGCTTCCTACGTAGATAGGACATGTTTTCACTGAGTAAAAAATAGTTTATTTAGATATTAGAAAGATTGCTTTTGAAGCTTTTAAGGACATGGGGTTTAACTTAATGTAATATAGTATATATACAGCCTTGTTTAATTGGTTTGTTTAGAAAGATAAGTCCAATGATAATAAGGATAATAATGAATAAAGATAAAAATCAAACAATGTTGAAATAAACTAAATCATATTATCAAAAGGAGATATACCTCATTCTTTTAATCTTTATATACAATTTAAATCAAAGTCAATCCACGTAAATTTATAGTGATCCATTAACATAATATCCTATATAAGATATTAAACATATGAGATTCTATAAAATCAATTGTATAATAAAAGTAAAAATAGATTATTCATTAAGGGTATTATAGATATTAGCCACTCTAACTTTTAACGTGAGAGCTCCGTTGCGAAAAATCACTTCGCAAATGCGGGCTTAATTTTCTTACAAATATTTATTATTTTTTTTGTTTTACTAATTCTAAAATAACATTATAAGTTATTTTTATAGTTTTAAAAAACTTAAATCAAACATTAAAATATTTTTATATGAATATATATTTAGATTATGGATAATTCATATCATTATTATTAATTTAAATCATTTATCTAATCAAATAAGTTTAATTATCTTTAAATAAATTTTTAAAAACATCAAAATAAATGATTATTTGCATCCAAAAAAAATCGACCTAAAATATTAAACTTATTTACATGATAAAGTTATTTACAAACTAATTTTTCATTTGAAACTTTGAAAAATTTAAAGTTTATTTCATTTCTTCTTAATTGATAAAAAAATTTGAAAAATTGAATCGATAAATTTACATTCAAAAATTGATCTTACAGAAAGAATAACATTAGTTTAGATAATAATACAATATATTTGATTTTTTTTGTCAAACACGTATTTTCTTAAGGTTTAACTATATAAATATAAATATAAATTTAGTTTAATGTGTGAGTTCAGAGGTGAAAAATAACTTCACATTTATATATATCATTATATTATATTATTATATTCTTTTAATTTGAAAATAATTACGCATTATAAATTTTCAATTTTCTTTTGAATTATATACAATTAAAAATTTTACTTTATGAATATTTATTTATGTGTTTTCAGTTTTTGAATAATTTGTAATTAAAATCTATTTTCCGGATAACAACACGATATCTATATAGGAATTATCTTTTTTATTTTAAATATATTTTTAGATTATGGATAATTCTTATCATTATTATTAATTTAAATCATTTATCTAATCAAATAAGTATTAAATTCTTTTTTTATTTTTGGCTGATTTATATATTTTATTCATTAAGGGTATTAATCGATAATATTATATTCAGTTGATAATAACATATATAAGAATTATCTTATTTTTGTTTTTTTTTATAAACTTATTATATTAATTATTCTAAGTTATCTAAAATAATAACATACTAATTTTAATTTTTTTTTTTAAATTCGTTTTTAATTATAAAATTAGTTATATATAAAAATTTCATTAAGGGTATAATCGATATTAACCACTCCAACTTTTAACGTGAGAGCTCCGTTGCGAAAAATCACTTCGCAAATAATAGTATAGATAAGTTTAATTATCTTTAAATAAATTTAAAAAAACATCAAAATAAATGATTATTTGCATCCAAAAAAAATCGACCTAAAATATTAAACTTATTTACATGATAAAGTTATTTACAAACTAATTTTTCATTTGAAACTTTGAAAAATTTAAAGTGTATTTCATTTCTTCTTAATTGATAAAAAAATTTGAAAAATTGAATCGATAAATTTACATTCAAAAATTGATCTTACAAAAAGAATAAGATTAGTTTAGATAATAATATAATATATTTGAATTTTTTTTGTCAAACACGTATTTTCTTAAGGTTTAACTATATAAATATAAATATAAATTTAGTTTAATGTGTGAGTTCAGAGGTGAAAAATAACTTCACATATATATATCATTATATTATATTATTATATTCTTTTAATTTGAAAATAATTACGCATTATAAATTTTCATTTTTCTTTTTTGAATTATATACAATTAAAAAAATTTCTTTATGAATATTTATTTATGTGTTTTCAGTTTTTGAATGATTTGTAATTAAAATCTATTTTCCGGATAACAACACAATATCTATATAGGAATTATCTTTTTATTTTAAATATATTTTTAGATTATGGATAATTCTTATCATTATTATTAATTTAAATCATTTATCTAATCAAATAAGTATTAAATTCTTTTTTATTTTTGGCTGATTTATATATTTTATTCATTAAGGGTATTAATCGATAATATTATATTCAGATGATAATAACATATATAAGAATTATCTTATTTTTGTTTTTTTTAATAAAATTATTATATTAATTATTCTAAGTTATCTAAAATAATAACATACTAATTTTAATTTTTTTTTTAAAATTTCGTTTTTAATTATAAAATTAGTTATATATAAAAATTTCATTAAGGGTATAATCGATATTAACCACTCCAACTTTTAACGTGAGAGCTCCGTTGCGGAAAATCACTTCGCAAATAATATTATAGATTTGAAAATTATTTTTCTAGCATCTATTCTACACTAGCTATCTCGATTTTAATTATGCACATTCACTAAATTTTTTTTTCTTTTGCATAACGTTAATTGGGGGTTTTCAATCACCACCTACATGATTTGTAAGGGATTTCACAAACTCGCTGGATTGTAAATAAATTAGCTTTCTGATATACAAAATAATTGATTTTTATTTGTTATGTTGTAACTCGTAATAGATAGAAAAACACATATCCAGACTTATTGCAGGTTTATAGAAGCAATTGCAATTGCAACGGCTAAGAACTATCCCAGGAAGAAAATAGAATAAATGAAATAACAAACGAAAACTATCAAGTTTCTGCAGTAGCACTCGCAGCACTCAAATCCACAGACAAATCAAGAGTCTGCAAAAAAACAAAAATGAATACAAAAAACTTAGTACACTCAAACTGCTGCGTTTTACTTCTGAACCAAGAAACATAGTGATGAGCGTTAATACCTTTCCAGTGATCTTGGTGTACATCTCTAATACATCTGCAACTGTACTCTCGAAATGTGTTGTTGCATCATAAGTCTGATAAGAATACAAAACAAAGAAATATCAATTAAACTAATTAACAAGACATGTGCAAACACCAAAAAATTACTTAGGTTATATGATGTGCTATGATATTCACTTACACCAGAGATGAAGCAGTTGTCTTCTTCTTGCTTATTGGTCGGAACGTAAGTGTCATAAGAATGGTAGAAGATCTCATCTATAGGTCCAAGCAATTCGATTCCAGGTTTAAGCTCTTCTTCTGGATTATCAGTTTCAGCTTCTGCAGAGACAAAAGCTATGTATTTGCCTTTTGGTGCCACGTTGTGAGCGTATGAGCAACAGAACAAGTACCTACAAAGTCCAAAACCACAAAGATTCATCTTCATTTTTTTTTCAAAGTAGAAACTAGAGAGAGAGTCATGTTTCTTGAACTGAATGTTCTATTTTAATTATGATCTCTCTTACATGTCTGATTTGCGGCCAAGTTGCTTCTGAGGAAGAATGATTTGGACCGAGTGAGCATCGTTGGTGTCTGGAATAGGATGGCTCATTATACACACCGCTCGAGTCACTCTCCCAACTTTCTTAACCTAAAAATGCAAAGAAACCGTCTTAAAAAGTAACTAGACCGTCCAAAAATTTTAAACAAAGGGGCTTAGGGTTACCTTGTCAGACAAGTAAGAAGGATCACACACAACTTTTTTGCATTTAGCAGTTTCTCCCGCAGAAGTCACACCAATAGCTTTTCCGGAGCTATCAAACTCAACCTGTTATGAATAATGTTAGAGATTCTTGAGTTTCTGCTATCTTCAGAAACAATTAGTGGATATATAGTTAACAAATGTCATTACTATGGATATAAGCTTGCTAATAAAAGAGATTATGGATCGTGTGTAACCTTGCATTCAGGCTTGTTTAGCATGTAAGTCCCTCCATACACAGCGCTTAAACGCGCAAAAGCCTGAGAGCAGAAACAGAGTTTTGAGACCTAGAAAAGTGTCTTAAATTAACAGGAGACCTAAGATGAAAATTAAGAGGAAACCTGTGGCAACTCTCCTAGACCGTACAATGGGTAGATATAAGGAGATCCTCCTTGGAATCGAGCTAAAGATTCCGCGTAGAGCTTTACCACATAACAAAACAATGAAATGCACACTGAGATCAGAACACTTCCTTGTTCAGCAAGAAATGGAAACACTTTACCTTGATTCTCTTAACAAAATCAATGGCCGGTTGATCCAAGTAGTCATCGTCATTGTGAAGCGCTAAGGCATGACCGATGAAGTCGATTGTATCATCTTCAAGTCCATACTTCCTATTTAAAAAGAAAAAAAGAAACAGATAGTCAAAGCGTGTAATGCAAGAAACTATGGTGAAATGATTTGTTATAGGAGAACAAATGTTTTACGTACGAGATGATCTCTCTAGCAGTGACTTTGCTAAGGTCAAGTCCTTCGTGAGACTTAGGATCTTTCTCATCGTAGTCTTGAACATAGATAAAGAACTTTCTTGCACGTCGTTTCTCGAATAGACCCATCAATGGGGATTTTAGGGCTTCCACATCAGTGGCTGGGACTTTATAGATCTGACACGGATGATCATAATCTCAGAGTAATTCACTTGTGTTTAGAGAGGTGAAATATACTTAGTTACTACCTTGCCCTTGTTGTAGACGAAGCTACCATCAACGGCTTTGAAGTTAAGGTACTTGGTGACATCGGTGTGAATTAGGGCTTGAACAAGGGTTCCATTAGCCATTATGAACTACAGATCAATAAACCACATTCTTTATTATGATATTCACATAAATATTTTTGTATTTTGAAGTATGTACCTTTGGGATCATATCGACATTGTATTCTCTGATGGCTCCAAGATTTTCTTGGGGAGTGTCACTTCCCCTGAAACGTTTCCATAGCTGAGTGAGGTTAAGAGAGGATGATTCTCCTCCATAGTAGTCGTTTCTATCCATATGCAGTACCTATTTACATCCGTATGAACTAGCGTTATGGTTGGATCATAATATTTCATTGTTAATGTATGTAACTAATGATATAACATCACATTCATAACTATATAAAAACAAAACGTCAAAACCCATAACTAAATTTAAAAACTAATCTTTATATATATATGAATGTGATGCACAAAAACAAGGTCAAACGTGAAAGTAAAATGTAAAAGAAATATGGTGAATATTGAGAATACCTTGAGGCCATCGACAGAGAGGAGACCACTAAGGATACACTCCTTGAGACCAGTCCCAAGAACAATCACATCATACTCTTCATCCATTGTTTTAAACGATCGTCTATAACTCTTCTATGATCTCTAATAGTTCTTGTTTTATTGACTGTGTGGGAAGAAAAAGAAATAGAGGGAGATGTGTGGCTATTAACAGTCTTACCATTACCAACTCCGATCTTACCGTTTAACCTCATGAGAAATTTTGACGTTAATTATTAATACCGCATTGCTAGGTAAAAAAAATGGTTCCTAAAAATTTACTATATCCAGACGAACGATAACTTGCACACAACGAAAAGGATCTAAGTCGTTTACCTACCAACACCTACACCTCTTTTTTTTTAAAGGTGTTTTCATACCTGCAAATTTACCAAATTTATGTGCAATAAAGTTAATCTTGGAACAAGTTTTGACTAATCAGAATCAACATAACTGAATATAAAATTTAAAGACAAATACAACTGACCAAGCCTAATTCTTGATTTTCTAGTAATTTTCTTAATAAACATTTTTTTCTTAATTTATTTTCTTAATAAAATTTGTATAATGGATGGCTATTTTCAAGATGAGTTATTTGTTGAGTTTACACATTTTGCAAGCTATGCGTGTAACCAAAACAAGAACACGTAGACAATAGGACCTAAAATCCAACTAGATTGAAAATGACAATGTAGATACACAGATAGAGAGGTTAAACGAACATTTTGAATTGGACAAAATTTTCCCACCAAACTCCATCTTTCTTCGACCTCAAAGCACCTTTAAATAGCCATTCGACTCAAAGACCAAAACCTCATCATCACAAACCAAAAACAAACAAACACCACACAAAGCAAAAGAAGCAATACAAGAAGAAGGCAAAACTTGTCAAGCAAGCGCAGACATGGCACTGATGAAGAAGAGTCTCTTTGCTCTTCTCCTCTCATCACCAATCCTTATCATTTGTCTTATTGCATTGCTCGCTGATCCGGTTTCTGTAGGAGCTCGCCGGTTAGTGGAGGAGATTCCTAAACTGGAGATACCAAAATTACCTGAACTACCTCACCCGGAGCTACCAAAATTTGAAGTTCCCAAGTTGCCAGAGCTCCCTAAACCAGAGATACCTAAGTTACCTGAGTTCCCAAAGCCTGAGTTACCAAAAATGCCAGAGATTCCTAAGCCTGAACTGCATAAGTTCCCAGAGATTCCCAAGCCTGAGTTGCCCAAGTTTCCAGAGATTTCTAAACCTGAATTGCCAAAGATGCCAGAGGTTACAAAACCTGAGATGCCCAAGTTGATGGAGACTCCAAAGCCTGAGGCTCCTAAGTTGCCAGAGGTTCCTAAGCCTGAGATGCCAAAGGTACCAGAAATTTCAAAGCCCGAGTTACCAAAGGTGCCTGAAATTCCTAAACCGGAGCTACCAAAAGTGCCGGAGATTCCTAAACCGGAGCTACCAAAGGTTCCTGAAATTCCTAAACTGGAGCTACCAAAGGTGCCAGAAATTCCTAAGCCCGAGATGGCAAAGGTGCCAGAGATTCCTAAGCCCGAGTTACCAAAGGTACCTGAGATTCCAAAGCCCGAATTACCAAAGGTACCGGAGATTAAGAAACCAGAGCTTCCAAAGATGCCGGAGATTCCAAAGCCTGAGGCTCCTAAGTTACCAGAGATTCAAAAACCTAAAATGCCAACCATTCCAGAGGTTCCAAAGCCTGATGTACCGAAAGTTCCAGAGATTCCAAAGCCAGAGCTACCAAAGATGCCTGAAGTTCCCAAGTTGCCAGAATTTCCAAAAGTTCCAGGAACTCACTGAGCCTATTCAACCAGAAGAAGTCCCACCCCCATTATCTTGAACTACATACACTTCTGTCTGTCTATCTCATAGTCGTTCCTTCGTGAACCATATCTTTGTCGTTTGATCTCATAGCCATACTTTTTTTTTTCTTTTTTTTGATACACATGTTTGTATTCTGTTATATTTGTATGTTTCATACATACATATTTCTTTGTATTTTGATATACCTTTTTATTGGATTGCGTTACTTATGACATGTTTGAGTAGAAAGGTTGCATATACTAAGGTCAAATTTCTCAGTTATGTGTTTGAAGAAAATTAGTAAGTGTATTGTAGAAGAAATTACAGATTTAGAACTTCGAAGTAATATAATCCAAGTGTACGTCTAAACACAAAAAGTAAAGAATACATGAAAATTGTTTTTAAAAATTTGTTTGCTGCTCTCGATTACTAATCTATGATTGATAACTTGATAGACTATATACAGTTATAATTTAGCTAATTTTTCTCATTTATATTTTGACTTAGCTAGTTTTGGTTTGTTTATTTGATGTTGCAGGCCAAAAATTTCCGAAAAAGGGGCACCGATAAAGAGTAATAAGAATATTCGTTGCACCTAATGAAAATGATTCTAGGGTTACTCCAAAATATATATTGTTGCTTAAGATAAGTTTCTTTTGTCGCTTGCTTGTGCAGATACTGTTTTGAGGCTCACTAGATTTTTAGGGTTTCAACAATCTGAACAAATGGTTAGTTTCTCGATCTCTGTGTCTCTATCATATTCTCCTGATTAGATTTGTAAAATCTCGCAATGGGAATCCGTAGGCGGATGAGGCAGCTAAGGCTGGGATCGTGAAAAAGAGAACGTTCAAGAAATTCGCCTTCAGAGGAGTTGATCTCGATGCTCTTCTCGACATGTCTACCGATGATCTTGTCAAGCTCTTCAGTTCCCGTATTCGCAGAAGGTCTGCTTTGTCTCGTGTGCTCTAATATCTTGTCTTTTCATTATGATACTAATCGGTTTTGTATTTTTTTTGTCTTGATAGGTTCTCTAGAGGGTTGACGAGAAAGCCTATGGCTTTGATCAAGAAATTGCGCAAAGCTGTACAACTCCAGTTTCTCTCATCACTAAGTCATTTTTAAATAGATCTTGAATATGAAGAGAGGGTCCATGTCTCAGATTGTGTATCGTCGTGGTCATTGTAACATATGTATGTCCATATGTTCATGCTTTTTCTCTATACATTTTTGTCTTTTGAGCAGAAAAGGGATGCACCAGCTGGTGAGAAGCCAGAAGCAGTGAGAACCCATCTAAGGAATATGATTATTGTGCCGGAAATGATTGGAAGCATAATTGGTGTATACAATGGAAAGACATTTAACCAAGTGGAGATCAAACCAGAGATGATTGGTCATTACTTGGCTGAGTTTTCAATCTCATATAAGCCGGTTAAACACGGTAGGCCTGGTGTTGGTGCCACCAATTCCTCCAGGTTTATACCTCTCAAGTGAATGGTCTACTACACTCTTCTAGTCATGTGTTATGCTAATCCCAAATAAGACTTTCGTTGTGTTTTTCTTTATAAAGTTTTGTTTTTGTTTCCTTGCTCTCCTTTAGATTTTGTTTAAGACAATTCTTCATGGGTTTCAATAATACTTAGCATTTTTTTTGAAAATCCATATCTGTTTATAAAGAGCATTTCCCTCTGTTTCATTTTAATTGATTTTTAAGGTTAATGCACGAAAATGCTATTCTTTATAAAATTTGTTTTAGTTTTATAAAACTATCATTAAATAAAAGTAATTCATCCAATAAAAATATGTAGTATTATGTCTTCTGTCACAAAAGTCAAACAACATTAAATATTAATCTAGATTAATGAGAACATCTTATTTTGTAACAATAATTTTCGTAAACACTAAATAAAGGAAGTAACATTCATGGAAGAAAATTTACTAGGACTCACACCCCCTATATATTATTTGGAGATCATTTAAAAAAGGGATAATTTGCAAAATACCTTATTTAAGATTTGAAATTTGACAAATACATTGTATTTAAACAAATTTGAAATCTACACTTGTGCATATATGATAAGACTATTCTAACCCACATTTTAATATACAAAAGTAAAATCTGATTTCGTAGTATTCTAATTAATTTATTTGAGATAAAAATAATAATTATTACAATACTTAAATTTATAAATTCATAACTGCAAAGATTATCTTCAGAAAAAATGGTTTAAAATATGTATATAAGTTAACAAAATTTTGGCATCTATCTACGTACCTAGAATTTTAATCTGTTATAGACAATGTCTCATAGTGCATTCAGCCTAGAACATTGACACCACGACTGAGGGAGGCTCGTTACTTTCAGCTATTGGACCATCACTTCATCAGTTTTAAGGGTACACGTGAATATACATATAAGCAATTTGTGTATAATTAAATATCATACATATCTAAAACTGTTTTTATTTATTTAATTGTAATTTAAATATAATTTTGATATCAATATTAAAATTAGTGTAAATTTTTAATTAGGTTAGTTTAGTCATTTTACTTACAAATAAGTGTATTTTTCAAAAATAAGAATAAATGATGTAGTTCTCAAAATATAATCTTGTTGGAAGGTATTTTTCCAAATTTCCCCTTTAAAAAATTGTAACTTTAAATTTGTATTAATTAAAAATATAACCTCAATCCTATGTGGCATATTTCTTTGCCTTCTAAGTTCTATTTAACACAATTTTATAGCACCTTACATATATCATAGTTTAAACAGATATTTACTAGAAACATGTTGGTCACATATTTTATTAATATTAAAAAATAATATTCATTCTTTCCTTAAATAAAAACTACGAAATTACCTAATGTGAATAAAAATATATGAAAATTAATAATTTCAGTAATAAAGATTTGTTAACAATTTGTATACCCTCTATCATATTTGTTTAAATATTTGTTATTAAAATAATTTACACAATTACATTATTTCTATAGTAAAATTTTATAATTTTTCGTATATATAGTATTTTGAATTTTTTAAAACGGGTATAAATTACGAAATTGTTAAATATCTCAAATAAACTTTTTGTGATCAATGGTTTAAATTTTTATTATAGTAAGATACAAATAATTATAAAATACATGAGTAAGACGCCTTATTTAATATGTTTATATTAATACATATATATAATTTAATTAAATTACATACCATATAAAATACANGTATTTTGAATTTTTTAAAACGGGTATAAATTACGAAATTGTTAAATATCTCAAATAAACTTTTTGTGATCAATGGTTTAAATTTTTATTATAGTAAGATACAAATAATTATAAAATACATGAGTAAGACGCCTTATTTAATATGTTTATATTAATACATATATATAATTTAATTAAATTACATACCATATAAAATACATACTTATATTTTGATATTTCCATTGAAAAATATTTTGAATTTAATATTTTAATTTTAAAATTTGCATTCAATTTTTAATAGTTCAAAATTTTGTTATAACAATATATTGATAATCAGAAAACCTTATAATGAGAAAATTCATTTACTAAACATCCATATTTAAAATATATTATAGATTTTGTTAATGTCATTTAAATTTAATTGTATCTAATATGTGATGTATAAACTTGATTGTGTTGATTTATTTACCATAAAATGATTGTTAATAAATAAGAATAATCGTTTGAATTAAATGCACACACCAAATCCCCTATATATTAATTGAAGATTATTTAGAAAGTTACAACCTTAAGTTTGTACTAATTAAAAAATCATATCTTATGTGGCAGTTCTCTATGAAATTCTACTTTGAAGAATTCTGGAGCACCTCATAGAAATCATAGTCTTAAAACAAAGTCTGTTCGTCTCGTATAAGATATATCAAACTAAATAACATATCAAACTAAATATCCTCTATATTCTTTTCTTAAATAAAATCTACGGAATTACCTAATGTGATAAAAATATATATGATTATTAATAATTTTAAATAATAAAGTTTTGTTAACAATCTGTATACTTTATATCATTATTTTTTAATTTTTATTATTAAAATAAATTACACAACTACACTTATCATATAAGAAAAAATTAGAATTTTTTATATATGTTGTATTTAATTTTTTTTAAAACGAGTATAAATTACTAAAACTGTTTTAAATCTCACATAATATTTTGTGATCAAGGTCTAAATGTTTAGTCTATAATAAGTTACAATGATTATAAAATCATATGCATAAATAATTTTATTTTAATAGGTGTTTATGTTAATATATTTATAATTTTTAAATCATAATGTTATTTTAAACATAATTATAATTTAAAATATATTTATAATTTTTAAATCATAATTTTATTTTAAACATAATTATAATTTAAAATTTAACTTAATTTTTAGAAAATTATTTTTTATTTAAAAATTAATTTAAAAATATATAATTTTCTGATATTTGGACAAATAACTTTTTTTTATTAAATTAGTTTTGAAATTTTATATATTCTAAATACGAATATTCCACCAACTGCTTATTAAGAAAACATTAGGGAACTTGATAATGTTTTACCAATTAAGCCATGTGACACTTCGTTTATTTTCCATCTCTTGAACACTGAAAAGTGAAAACATATACAATAGAACCTCTATAAATTAATACTCGATAATTTAATATACACTAAATATCTCTATAAAATAATATAATTTTATAGTCCCAAACTGAGTTTTTGGTTCGATTAGTATATCGATAAATTAATATCTCTCTAAAGTAATAAAAATAAAATTTTGGTGTAATCTCAACATTATTAATTTATAGATGTTTCACTGTATGAACATGACCCATTAAATTATAAGTTTTGATCTACAGTTCTAATTACAATTGTTTATGATCCTACATATAGATAATTATATAAAAATTCCAAAATTCCAAATATATATAAAAAAATCATATATAAATTTTCAATTTGTAATACTAAAATATTATATTTTAATTACATATACTCATCCTGCGTAAGACGCATATATTATCCTAGTTTTTATATAAAAGAAACAAAAATATATGTCCATTATTAATCCATGTAACTATAACCATAGCCATCAATATTAAATTCCAAATATTCAGAAGCTATATTAAATAAGTAATCAAAAAGAACTGGGTCTAATCCTGAATCCATAAATAAGATATACACTAGATTTTGATCCGCGCAACCGCGCGGGTGTTTGTTTTCGTTTGTAGTTAGTTATATAAAAATTTTGTTTTCACTTGTAAATTGATATATATTATAGTAATAACATATTTATAATATGTATAGTAAATGTTTTTCAAACATAATAATATTATATAACTAGATTTTGACCCGCGCTTGAAAGCGAGAAATATTTTTTATGATTACAAATTTATATAATTGGGTTTTTGTCTTAACTTAAAGAATATTTTGGTATAAAATCAGTTCACCAAAATTTGTGGTGATGATTGTTTTTCATTATTTTTTAGTTTCAATTTTTATATTTAGATTTTGTTTTAGATTTTGCTTTTTATTTTTTAAGTTTCTATTTTTGATTTTCACCTTTTGATTTGAGTTTTTAATTTTTAGACCCGCTGAGTTAGTTTGAACTGATATTACTAACAAACAAATCCCAAATAATCGAACATCTAATTTAAAACTGAAAAGAGGACATTTTTTTTTAAAAAAAAATTGCAATATTTTATTTTTTAAATAAACAAAAGCAAAAAATATAACCTGCGTTTTCAACTTTTGGTTTTGGATTTTAGTTTTTTAGATTTAGTTTTTGGTTTTGCTTTATATATTTTTTTTAAATCAGTAAATTATTTAAGAAAAATAAAACAATATATTATTTAAAAGTTACCATTGAAATTTATCAAAAAAGAGATTGTTATTTTAAATAAAAAAAAATACATTATCATATTTTTAAGTACATGATTTAAATAAATGATTAATAATAGACAATTTTGTTTTGTTAAAAATCTTAAATACCTTTTGGGCCTGAAAAAATAATTGATTTTTTGATCCATTAAGGTGGAAAGTTTATTCAATGTTTTTTGGAGTTTTTCCTTAATATTAAACCCAAAAACTAGGGCTGTTCAATATGGTGATACCGAACCGTACCGAACCGAAATAGACAATATGGTTTGGATTTGGAATATACCATATAAACCGAATGGATATGATTTTATAAAAACCGTAGGATTTGGATATGGTTAGGTTTATAACCGATTAAACCGAATAAACCGAACAAAACCGATCAAAGAAATAATATATAAATATATACATTATATAACCATTTATTTTCTTGGAATAGTCTTTTTATTTTTATTTTTTTATACCTTGTGAAGATATATCTTAATAAATTTATTTTATTTTCTTCAACTATTATCTAAATTTGATTTGATTTTACATGTTGTAAGAAATTGTGAAATTAGATTGTACCATGTAATTTATTTGGAAGAACAAAGAGAAAATAAGAAAAGCTATACAAAACTGAATCGTTGATCGTTTTGTTTGTTGTTAATTTCACATTTTTATATTTATGAACACCTAGGATTATTTTAATAAATGATAGTTTTGACAATATGTTTTTTTAAAAAATTATATAATATGAAACCAAATCAAATAATAATGTTATTTGGTATAAAACCGAATAAACCGAAAATCGGTAGTATAAATACCGAACCAAACCAAATTAAATATGGTTCCAATATGGTAGCTAATTTTTATAAACCGAATAACCGAAAACCGAAAAAAACCGAACCGAAACCGAACCGAACACCAGATTGAACAGGCCTACCAAAAACCAAATCATATAATTTATTCTAAAAACAAAAGTAAGCCCAAGACTATATCGCATAAATAACCACCGGTTTAATTTAAGTAATACGGTTCAATTAACTATATGACATGTATTATTTGTAACACTCTAGAAATGGTCTAATTTAAATGACAACTTGTATTAGTAGATAAAAAGAATGACTCTATTTTAATAGAATAGATACGTGTTTTAATAAAATAGATTGTTTCAAATTTTCTATATTATACATGTTTTTTAAACCTGTGTTTGTTTCTTCTTCTATATTTTATTGTTTGTTAGATTAGTATTTCATTTTTTAGATAAAGTAATATAAATAGAGCTTGATTAAATATTAGTATACTTTAATTTTCAAAGATAATATAAACTTCGAATAATTTTTTGCTAAAAACTAACTTATAGCTTTACAAATTAATATTATAAAAAAATTTAAAACAAATTTTTAAAACAATATAATTTTCAAATTTTACATCGCAATAAATTTATCTAGTATATATAGCGTGTAAATTTTGTTAGGGCATATAAATATTAATCTGTGATTTTTGTTAATATATTGTGGATGCATTTAACTATTATTGACATATTTTCTTATAAAAAATAGAAGATTCCTAAACTTATATCTATTGACATATTTTGCGTGACTAAGTTGGAAGGTGTGAGGTAATTTACCAAAATCAAATTGTTAAGCATATCTTTGTTATTATAGATATGATTTTTCATAAGATATAATAATGATAAGATTATTAGAGAGTTAATGTAACATAACTTTTTAGTAATAGTCAATTTTTAAAAAAATCAATATGAAGTCAAGTCATGACTTCTATTTTAATATATAAGATACATGTCAAAAGAATCTGGTTCAAACTGAAACTAATTAAGTGAATCTATGATCATAAATAATTTGACTAAGAAGAAAAGAACATGTGGTAAACTAATTAACATGTGGCATAAAGAAATCTGTAGAAATTTAATTAAATCTATTAGATTAAGTAAATATGTAGTTAAAAAGAAAAAAATCTGTAAAAAAAATCTATGTGACACTAATTAAGGAAGCTTTTGGATAGTAAGAAAATATTCATAATATGATTTTAATCCTCGTTACTTTTTTTGTAAAGAAATATTTGGTAATACTTTTGACCTTACGTTCCATGAAAGAGAATTGTTTTACGATTTTTAGAAAAAGAAATGTTCAACTATTACTCTAGATCCATTATATATTTGTGTATATATATACTGGGTGCCAAGTTATGTGTCTTACTGTTTCTCCATAACAAAAACCCTAGCAGCAGTTACTTTCAGAGCTTCTCCAACCAACAAACAATGGTTAGTTTCTCCATTACTACTCAACTATTAGATTTTGCAATATGATCATGGTCGTAAATTCCTACCTATGTCTGAATTCGTAGGCTCAAGTCGAATCAGACGTTTCCACAGCTGCTATCGCTAAGAAGAGAACGTTCAAGAAGTTCTCCTACAAAGGAGTCGATCTCGATGCTCTTCTTGACATGCCCACTGATGATCTTGTCAAGCTCTTCCCTGCCCGTATTCAAAGAAGGTTTGGTCCGCTAAAGATTCGTGTCTTTATTTTGGTAGATGATATATATAAAAATCTATTTTGATAAAAGAAAAAAAAATATATATATATATATATAGTTCTGAATGATTGGTTATGTATAGTGTACTTTGTTACGTTGATCATCTTGTAGGTTGTCTAGAGGTCTGACGAGGAAGCCTTTGGCTCTCATCAAGAAATTGCGCAACGCGGTAAGATCCTTTACTTAGGTTTAGTTTTAAAATACTTGTCTTAGAAAGGCTTAAGAAATATTGTGCTGGTTCTTTGATCACATGATTTAACAAGAGATCAATGATTTACCTTCAAACAGAAAAGGAATGCACCAGCAGGTGAGAAGCCAGAAGTAGTGAGAACACATCTAAGGAACATGGTGATTATGCCTGAAATGATTGGAAGCATCATTGGTGTGTACAACGGAAAAACGTTTAACCAGATCGAGATCAAACCGGAGATGATCGGACACTACCTTGCCGAGTTCTCAATCTCTTACAAACCGGTTAAGCACGGTAGGCCAGGTCATGGTGCCACACACTCCTCTAGGTTTATTCCTCTCAAGTGAAGCCATTACAAGACTCCATGCCATTTCCTACCGCATCTTTTATTTTATTTTGTTTATCTAAATCTATCTTCCTATGATAACTATCTTTTAAAAAATCGGATGATTTTCTTTTTAATAACACCATAGGGTTTAAACTTGAGTTACAGTGTGATATTTACTTGATTTTACAAATGGATCCAATACATGTTTATGTATCAGCCATGTTTGATCTCATAAACTAAAAGCGTTGTAATAGTGAAACCTTCTTTAGCTCAATATGATTCGTTCGAGTAATATAAAACAACATCGTGCCGTGAGGAATACGCAAGTCTCACCAAGTCCAACAACAAATGCCAAAGCAAAAAGTATATAAAAACAAAAACTCACATTGAAGAGAGAATCTTCTATTTTATTGTAGAGCTTGACTTGAATCTTGCCAATAGCCTAAGATTTTCCACAACCTGATATTATCTCAGAGACCAAATCTTATGATACCTCGTTCTCCAAGCTGCATTGCTTCTCCACCAAAAGCAAGTGAAAGTCACTAGCCTTTTCCTCTAACCCAGCATCTCTAAAAGCATTCAAGATCCTAGAGCAAGCAGAAGCATCAAACTCTGTCGTTTTAGACTCCTTCCACTGATCCACAACTTCTCCAGCTTCTCTCAAATGACCAAGCATTACATAAGATGACATAACACATATATAGCTTCTGCTGCTCAACTTCTGGTTAGTGTTTCTCAAAGACTTCCAAATCTGATCTATCATACCCTTGTTTCCTAACCCAGTGTGCAGAATCATAAGAAAGTCATACGTCACCCATTCCCTTTGTGAAATAGATTTCTCAGACTCAACAGGTGAGCTAGACTCTGCATTTGTTAACCTACTACTCTCTATATAGATACTAGTAAGATCAATATACAGTGACCAACCCTCATTGAAACCACCATCACTCCTCATCTCCTCAAGAATCTTTCTAACCTCATCAATACTAAACGTAGCAGCACATGAACTCAACCACAGGTTGTAAGTATATATATCAGGAGAAACCTGTTTACGCTTCATCACTTGTATAANGTTAACCTACTACTCTCTATATAGATACTAGTAAGATCAATATACAGTGACCAACCCTCATTGAAACCACCATCACTCCTCATCTCCTCAAGAATCTTTCTAACCTCATCAATACTAAACGTAGCAGCACATGAACTCAACCACAGGTTGTAAGTATATATATCAGGAGAAACCTGTTTACGCTTCATCACTTGTATAACCTCACGCACTTTCTCAACTTCTCCAACAGACATGTACAAAGTCATCATCTCATTGTATGTGATGGCACTGAAGGTAAGACTCTCACTCTCAATGATTCTCTTGAACAAGGCTTCGGCTCGTTCGGTTTGTTTGGAGGCAGCGTAAGCGTGAAGGAGTGAAGTATAGGTTTCAGATGTCTTTGAAGGTAGTTGCAGACTTTCGAAGTAGCGTTCAGCTGCATCGATCCCGAAGACTTTTGATATCAGATCTATACGCGATGCGTAATCAGCGTCTGAGATGTTGGGTTCTTCATGTTGAACCAAATACTCTGTGACCTGTAATAAGAACCACTTTGTGCATAAACAGATATTAACCAATATTCTAAAAATCTAGTAGTCTAGGCAGGGCCTAAGCGTCTACTTAGTTAGCAAATCAGATTTTTAAATGAAACGATTTAAACAAAAATTGGTCTACTATGAAACTTGGTACATAAACAATATTCTTTTTGTTTCATATTAAGCTATCACTTTAGTTTTGTATACACTGATTAAAAAATAATTAATTTTATATATTTTCTAAATAAAAACACAATTAACTATAAACTTAACAATATTTCAACCAATGAAAAAATAAATTATAATATAAAGTTAATTTTTGGTTCGAAAACTACACTTATTTTACAATAAAAAAAGTTTCTATATAACTACACTTCATATGAAAAGGAGTTAATCCTCTATAGGACATCTAACAACAACCTAACAATTTCTTGAATATTGGACATAACAAGTATAAAGTTGAAAACTTTGTCTGAAAAATTAAAGCTTTGTGAGCTTTATCGTCAAGTTATAACCAGTGATTCAACATAAACATGTACCTCGAGAGCGTGTTTGTAACGGCGAGTTCTTCTGAGTTCTCTAGAGATCTCTCGAAGTTCGTTGACTGTTATCTGATTCCCTTCACCAACCCATTTCTCGAGAACGGTCGTCGCGCTCCGCTTCGGAAGTCTCAATCTGAAAATCCGGCTTTTCAGATCGTCTTTCTCCTCAGAATCCTCGACGAGCGAGCCTCCGATTGCCGCGTCAGCGCTGTAGGGTTTGGAGAAATGAGAAGATTCGGCGTTTCGGATGGAATTGCTTCCGACAACAGCACCATTTGTGAATCGACTAGATTCAGTAAAAGACAGAACCGTTAGAAGAATCTTGTCGGGGAAAATGAAATCAGTAGGAAAGGAAGAGAGAGTAACTCACCCTCTAATACTATGGAAGACCGAGCGAGTTGCCATTGATTGATTTTGATTCTCTCAGTTCGTTGCGAGTCTTGTGACCAAAAGATCTAAAAACCATCACGAACTAATGCGTCAAATGAATGGGCCCATAAAAATCGGCCCATTAGTGCTGCAAACGTAGTGGGCTGGGCTATTCGGAAAGAGAGTTGTTTTCTTTTCTAATTGCAATATTTAAAATTAATTATCTTAACTTTTGATTAAAAAAATATATCTTTAAATTACGAAATTAACAAATAAATTAAAAAATTAATTAATTATGGAAATCTGAACATCAATATTCAGTACAAATTAAAAGAGAGAAGCTGGAAACAAAACAAAAATAAAAATAAAAGAATCATATTCCTACAAGGAGTAATAGTTTTTAAATTACGAAATTAACAAATAAATAAATGAGTCGGGTTCCAATTGAGAAGCTTCCTTTAGTTTGTCCGTCCGTCGAGCTTACAAAGCCAAAACGGCAGCGCATAGAATAACAACCATAGATCCACCGAAAACAGTGTATTGTTTGGAAACGGCGCTGCTCTGCTCTGATGGAGCAGGAGCTTGTGATGGCGATTCTGATACGGAAGACGGAGTCACTGCTGCGGAATCGATGGAAGGAGAATCCGCTTGATGTAACGAAGGAGGAGACGCGACGGAAGATTCTGGAGTCGGTGTTTTAGACGGAGAAGGAGAGATAATCCGCCTTCCTCCGCTGATGGAAGGAGCTGGAGAAGGAGAAGGAGACTGAGCCATCGCTGAAGCGATTAGTAGACTGGTGAGAATCAGAAACCCTAGGACTTTCGAGATCGACATTTTATAAGTGAGAGAGAGAGAGAAGTAAGGATTCGAATTCGAGATAGTTGGTGAGTAAGGATGGAGTATTTGCTTTGTTGGTGATGAAGCCAAACTATGTGTAGAGTTCTTTAAATAGATGCAAAACTGGGGTCCACTGTTTGTCTGACTGGAAGCGCGTTAAATCTGAATCGTTTGATTATGTACAGGTGGCAGTAAAGGTAAAGGAGACGCGTGATTTGTGTAATAAAAAATGAAATGTGGCCGTTGTGTGAAAGAGCTTTATTTTCTTCCATAACGGTCGGTTGGTTTATAGTGCTGGGCCTTCGTTTAACATGTCATGACTGGGCTTAAGAGAAGGTTGGATCAGAAAAAAAAGTCACAATTCAAACTATAGAAACATTTTGGGGTGGGATCTAAATGCAAAGATTGTCATTTGATTTTTGGAATCTAATGGGAACGCATTATAACAAAAAATTATAAAATGCATGTAGTTAAGGGGATATCCTTAGAGACACACGAACTAGATTTGACGTACAACATGGCATGCGGAAAATTTTGGACGTCAATATCTAATATCCTCGCAAGTGTAGCTTTGTAGAAAGATATACAGAGACTCTTTTGTCAACTACACGACATTCAAAGTTATAAAACACTCATCAAACTATAATAGAAACTATAGACTTTTCATAAAACTGGTATGCACGAGACTGTACCTGGACTAACTTGTTAGGTTTCTTGTCTACATTTCCACAGAAGAAAGTAGCTGAAGTATCACCGTCCGTGATATAGAGAGCAAAATAAGCATCGAGTAAACCTAGTGATAACCCTGTTGACATGCGCTTACGTAACATATTTTTTGTTGCACCTTGTAAATCTTCCCATCAATGGCGCCAATGCTTGTGAGATACACAATCACATGTATAAGAGGGACAAACTCTAATTTACCCTATTTAGCTGTTCAATTTCTTAACGAAAGAGTTCAACAAACAAAGTTCAATGCTTATCAACTTCTGTGCTTTCCTTGTTTTAATACCTTCTACTACAAGAAACTAAAAACACATCTTACAAAGAAATTAAAAAGTTCTAATATTGTTATGTATATATTTAAAGACAAACAATTGTTGCTCCTCTTAGGTTAGACCTCTTAAATGAAATCTACAGAATTCATGGAACCGGTTCGATCCAATCCTTGTTTCTCTAACCAATACGTTTTTAGAGCCTTACGCACTTGCCTGAACCTTCTCCTATACGTTGGAAGCTTAGATATGCTCCGTACCATTCCATCATTCTATTTTATACCTTCTACTGCAAGAAATTAAAAATACATCTTACAAGGAACTAAAAATATTCGTCTCAAGTTAGACCTCTTCAGTGACATCTTCGGAACTCATGGAACCGGTTCGATTCAACCCTTGTTTTTTCTTAACCAATACGTTATTAGAGCCTTAACCACTTGCCTGAATCTTCTCCTAAACGTCGGAAGCTTAGATATGCTCCGTACCATTCCCATCATTCTACAGCACAAAGGAGTAACATCGAAGTTCAGAATCAAAGAAACCATAAGGCCATAAGGGCTCATCTTTCTATGTAAGAATCTTTACATTCTTCTGATTCCTTGAATTTGAGCAGCTCGAAGGTTTTCTTGTGGTGGGTTACCAAGATTGTCCCAAGCTTCCATCCTTTGTTCATGGTTTCCAAAGAGAACAACTTTCTCCAAGTACCTAACTTCACCTTCTCCAAGTTTAATCACTCTAATCTGATCGTTCAATACCATAATAGGATTAAAGAACCAGTCCAAGTACTTGTCCTGTGGTCTATTCAAATGTGTCACTTCGGAGCCATCAAGCAGAAGCACACCATGAGCACCAGCTTTAATAGACCTAAGCAGTGTATGAAGCAAATCATATGAAGGAAGGCCAACACTGATAATCGATGATTCGGTTCAATGTCTTCCCTTTAAAGACTCATACAGATCAGCTGGTGTTATCACTCCTTGGTCTAATAGTTCTTTGCCTTCCATCTCAAACCATCCCATCAAATGCTCCCAAATCTGTTGAAAATAAAAAGTAATGTACTAGGTTCATAATCAAGACATAAGGTTTTTGGGTTTAGTTTTGACATGTACCTGAACCATCCTCACTTCTTGTATTGCTCCTCTAACAGATACAGACCGAACCAGGCTTGGTACTAGCATATAGCTGGAGGTTCTACAGAACCTGAACTATTGACTCTGCTTATAGTTGTAGGGTGAACAATCACTGACACGTCACTTGAAAATGATCCGTTTGTCATTTTATATCTTGGCCTACGTGTAGTACAGTTTCTTGGTGTTAGAAGTCTAGAGGCAAGAGAAAGTTAATGTAATAAGAGTTAAAAGAGAGACATACTTTGGGAAGATAGTTCCTTCTCTAAGGTAAAGCCAATCATTTGTGTACTCATCAAACTCTCCAACTACTGCAATCACATAAGACACTCCTCTTCTAAATGACCTTTCCTGCAAAAACAGAATATTGAAACTGTTATAAAGAAGCCTCAGAGTTTTCTGCAAGCAAACTTAATTCATCATCTCTCGAAGCAAACACGAGAAACTTAATTATTCTTCTATTCATTGTCAGAAGAAACAGTTTATGGTTACGGATACATCCTGAGACTGTAAGACAATAGACAAACCGATTTATAAAACAAACATGACTAAAATGGAATAAGTGGCCAGCAGATTAAAACAAAAAAGAAAATATGTTATTCAGAAGAGAGAATAAGATTTCGGAAGTCGTGGTCTTATTAATATATACTCTCTGAACAACAGGGTGGCAATGAGAAAAAGTCTCTATGTTTAAGTCAACGCTTCCATGTTGGTATATAGAAAGAGTCTCTTTGTTTGTTGATTCTTCCTGATTATCTAAAAAGCTTTGAAATCTTGATCCTCTTGAAGATGTATGCTCAAGATGGTGGTGTAGCAGTGCAGAAGTAGTTCATGAAGTGCGATAGGAACTATGACTACAAGACGAGTGATTAAGAGAAGCACGAGTTCTGGAGGGAGTATTAATAAAAGAGTTATTGAAGTCTTGAGTAAAAAGGAAAGACTTGAGGAAGAATCAATCGAATCTTGAAGAAAAGGGAGATTGACTTATTCGCTGAAGAACTGGAAATGGAAAGTTTCCATCGAAGTTAGATGTGCAGATCTANGAGTGATTAAGAGAAGCACGAGTTCTGGAGGGAGTATTAATAAAAGAGTTATTGAAGTCTTGAGTAAAAAGGAAAGACTTGAGGAAGAATCAATCGAATCTTGAAGAAAAGGGAGATTGACTTATTCGCTGAAGAACTGGAAATGGAAAGTTTCCATCGAAGTTAGATGTGCAGATCTAGGTTGGCTCCGCATATAAAATGGAGATCTAGGAGTTGCAAGAGATCTAACACACAGAGAGAGATTTTAGCAAGAGAGGTTTTGTAAGTCCGGAGAAGGAGAGACAAAGCATCTAGGGGTTAAAAGCTTAAGTTGTTCAGAGACTGTTGTGAGTCTTTGAACGTGTAAGGCTAGTCAAACAAGTCAAGGTTTGTCTTGAGCTTGTGTGTTTAATTGCTTTTATAAAGAACTTTGTGTACTTTTAAAAGAATTAATCTAGTCGTATTTCTTGTGAAGAATTGACCATGTACTACTGTGTGTTCTACTTGATAACGCTTGATTATCTTACATTAACACCTCTCTTCAGCAATCAGCTTCTACGCTCTTTTTGGTACAATATTTTCCAACAGAAAATCCAGATCCCATCAAGAAGACAAAACAATGGCTTCTTCTTTAAATCTTTTGGCTCCTCCATCTTCTTTGCCTCGTAATTGGAAACATCATGTCTTCCCAAGCTTTCACGGGGCAGATGTCCGCGCAAACTTTCTCAGCCACATTGCCAAGGAGTTCAAAAGCAAAGGAATCAGCCTATTCATTGACAACGATATAGAGAGAAGTAAGTCGATCGGTCCTGAGCTCTTAGAAGCTATTAAAGGCTCGAGGATTGCTACTGTCTTGCTCTCGAAGAACTACGCCTCGTCCACATGGTGCCTGAACGAGCTTGTTGAGATCATCAAGTGCAGAGAAGAGTTTGGTCAAACAGTGATGTCCATTTTCTATCAAGTGGATCCATCTGATATAAAGAAGCAGACTGGTCAGTTTGGAAAGGTCTTCAGAAAAACTTGTAAAGGAAAAGCAAAGGAGGAGATCAGAAGATGGAAACATGCTTTGACAGAAGTGGCCCAAATCGCAGGTTTTCATTCAAAAAACTGGTTCGTGTTCTTCGCTCCCACTTTCTCTTAATATATCTAACACATCAATGACCTCTATACATACATATATAGACTTAAACAGCATTACAACAGCCAACATGACAGTTCATATTTTAAATATGTGTATGTGTTAAAAGTATGTAGATCGAACAAGTGTTGCTTTCTTTCTTTGATTCTACGGCTAGTATTCACACAAGTATGATAATATCTGAATATACAGCAGTATGTGAATCTTTTTTCAAGACTACATAACTGAACTGTTGATCATCTCCTTGTTTAGGAAGAATGAAGCAGAGATGATTGAAGATATTGCCACTGAGGTTTCAAACAAGCTGAACCTTTCCGCACCATGCAGTGATTTCGACGGCTTAGTTGGGATGAAATCTAAGATAAAAGAAATGAGACCATTGTTACAGCTAGATACAGACGAAGTGAGAAAAATAGGGATCTTGGGTCCCCCTGGGATTGGTAAGACCATCATTGCTAGATATATATTCAACCAATATTCTCGAGATTTCCAACTGAGTGTCTTTATGGATAATATCAAAAGAAAGTATGCGACAACGGATCTCTCTGATGACTACAGTGTGAAACTGGACCTACAGAAACATTTTATGTCTCAACTAACCAATGTGACAGATATCAAGAATTTTTCACATTTGGGATTTGTCAAAGACAGACTGAAAGACAAGAAAGTTCTTGTCGTTCTTGATGATGTGGATCGATTAGTTCAAGTGGAAGCC